TCTGATTAGGAGAGTAGATGTTTTAAATTTGGTTTTTGTTAAGAAAGGCAGAGGTAGACCTAGGAAGACTTGGGCTTATTGTATTAAAAATGATCTTAATTTATTAGAACTAAATGAAAATATGATACTAAATAGGCAATGGAGAAAAAGGATTCATGTAGCCGACCCCACGTAGTGGGATTAAGACTTTGTTGTTGTTGTTGTTGTATTTATTCAATAATTTTTTTTTAATTAGATATTATTCATTTATTTTAATTGAAACTAGAATTAATTATTTTTGTGGGGATACGATTAGATTTAAACGTGATATGTTATATAGGATTAAATTATTTTTTATTTCAATATTTTTTTTGGTAATGTTATTTCTATTAATCAGGAGTCCTTGTATTTTGGATTACTCTATTAATGAATGAAAATTAAAGCTTCTTCTTATTCTCTTTAGTCTCTCTATCTCAGTTCTCTCTTTGCTAATTTTTTATTTTTTTTTCTTATATTTACCAACTTTATATCATTTGTTATTTGAGCCTTATGAGCAGACTAGATGTCTGATAATCTTACTTGGCAAGTTATAAGATTTTTGTTTATGAGGTTCTCGGGCAATTCATATAATGCTAGATGGCCGAACTTTCTTCTTCGGAATCAAGTGGTTTAAAGGGTGCAAGCTGTACAATATCATTTTCTATTCCCATATTACATATGTAGAAACTTGGTTAATATTTGTATATTTTCTCCTAAGACTTTTGTGTGAAGTGATCGCTTTGTAATTAGTTGTTTTCGAATGTAGAAATTACTTAGTGTAGAATAGAATCATGTTGTATTAATAAGGGTGTAATGAAATACACATATGATTCAAATTATCTTTTCACCCTCGTTTTTAAAGACCTTGAAAAGAAATTCAAAAGTTTCATCCTTTGGTCTCTCTCTTTAACAAGTCGCGACATCCTTCTAGCAGCCACTATTTATTGTCTAGTTGGGAGGACATTCTCCTTCCATCAGCCATCACCTATTGTCTAGTAGTCAGGACAGTATAAACTTCCTCCTTGCGATAGCCTTCTCCACCTTTAGCTTCTATCTTTGCAGCAAGGAGAACCACAATACGGAGAATCGTCCGCTATTATAACAACAATAAGAAGAAAAACCATAGTTTTAATAGTTTATATGGATGAAATTATTTTAACAACAAATCTTTCTTAAAAATGGAGGAAAGTTAAAACTCAAAACTCAACAATTCAAATAACTTGCAGTGAATGATCTAAATAGATTCAAATATTTTCTTGGAATAGAAGTGACTCACTCAATTAGGATATTCATTTTGTTACTAAAGGAAATCTGGAATATACTGAATGAAAAATATTTGATGGGATTCAAGTCTTTTAGAAGTTCCATTTGATTATTGCCACAAGTTTTGAAAGACAAATTACAACCCAAAAGTTGATAAATGAATGTTTCAAATGTTGACAGTAAGCTTTTTTTCCTCATTGACATAAGATTGGTTGTAACCTAATCTGTAAGTAATCCAAGTCAATTTATGCCTATACTGAACAAGTGTATTTATAAGTTACATATGAACCTCTTCATCTTCTCAAAGCAATCTCATGAAAATAAATCTTATTTAATAGAAATAGAAGACTCGTTTTAGAAGCAGACACATATTCTGACTGGGTGATTGCTTATACATATAAAATCTACTTCTAATTATCGTTCTTTTTATGATAAAATGTAATCATTGATTTATGAATGGGTAGGATTTCTCATACATATAAAGAATCACTTTAGAAGGAGACACATTCTAATTATAACTTTTTGTTCCCAAGATTCTTCATGGCTAGTCTGAATGCTCTTCTGATTTTCTTCTCTTTCAGTCATAAATCTATAAGGTCTCTCTTGCTACTTATTTTGATTTTGTCTATATCTTTGCGCATTGATCTTATCTCTCATAAAGCATGACTCGAGTTTCTTTTCATACATTCAGATTCACTTATGCACCAAACTTGATCCCATGCTTGATATAGTCTTATGATCCTTTTTTATTTTAACTGTATCAATTTTCCTTCTCTCTTCCAATTTCTTGCAACAGTCATAAAATCATCAGCATAATAGCTCGTGAGAGCTAAGTTAGTGAAATGTAGCCATCTGAATTTAACCTTGCAACATTATCAGCTTTTTCCCATTTGATTTTATGATGTGTAAGTGAAATTTGTTGTTGAACGTGTGTTTGGTGTGGTAATGTTCAGATCCACCTCTTCCCATTTGTTTTCCATTTTTTTCGAAGCTATTATTTTTATTGCCAGAATATTTTTTTTTGATACTAATGAGTTGCCTCATTATTTTCAGATCTGCAGTTGCATGAAGACGAGATTTATTGCTCTTTAGAAGATGAACAGCATGATGGATTTCAACCCCAAGTATGCTCAATTTTACCTCAACTTAAAAAATAAATAAAAACCTAGAATTTCGTATCTAGATTAAATCTCTGATTTTGTAATAATTCTTTGGTAACTTAAGGGCTTTGCAGTCCCAAACAAAAGATAACTTGAGGGTTTTGCAGTCCCTAACACTTTTGCAGTCTATGTTCTTATGCATGAGAACTGTTGGTGTTAGAGTTGTATGCATTCTTTTCAATATGTGCTAGGCATTATATCAATTTAAGAAGGTGTTTGATTAAACTTGTTGGCCCAATCTTGCTTGATGCTTTACAACTTGATCCTTTGTACAATTTTGCTTGAGCAACTCTGTTCTTGTTTTATCTGTACTGCATTCTTTTGACAAATTTTTCTATTCAGAACTTTTAACAGTACGACGCATTCATGCTTCTTTAACCTGCTTATGCTTTCGATTCCTCTCCAGTAATTTGGAGAGCATTTAACAATTTTTTGCCATTCATCCTTTTTCCCTTCCTTGGTTGTATTAGTAAGTTATCACGTTGGCCATTTTGCCATACCCACCTAGTTTTGTTTTCTTTTTCTTTGTGTACTGAGACGTTCATGGCTAATCCTTTCTCCTATTGTTTCAATTGAAAACCTTCTGAACCTGTCCATTCCTCCGATGCCCCACATGTATGAAGGAGCTCTTTTTTTAAAAAAAGTTTTTTTTTTCTATTTTTCAACGCAATGCTTTGAAGTGAAGAAATCAAGTGGCAAATGCATTAGTCTTCTTCAATGATCAACAAACCAGCTTCTTGCATGTAAACTCTCATCTTCTTTGGTTTACTTGTCACTTAATGCTTTCATTTGATGACTAAAATTCTTCTTGGTCATATCATATTGTTTTTAATGTCAGCTCTATGATCTTTTGGTGCATCATTTTAGTCTGGATGCTAGGCTGCATATATTTTTGCTAAAAAGGATGCATAATGGGTTGTTTATTAAAATGTTGCCTTGTTTTTTATATTTCTTGAGGGAAGTTTTAGATTGGTATGGTATTGATAGATGTTTTGAGAAAAATCTTACTGGTTATTCCTTTTTACCAAAATATAACAAACATTATTCTCCTATAGTAGTTTTTTACATATAGCTAATCATATTTCGTGACAGACTCCATCTAGGCCAGCATACAGCCCCCATAGAGCAAGCCAACATTCTTTTGAGCTAGCATCCAGCGTTGGATCCAAATACAATGATCACGAACATTTAAATACCTCTAAGTATGAAGATTTGCTTGATAAATGTTATATTCCATATGCTGAAAGATACAGAATGAAGAATCTGAAGTTCCCTTTTGGTGAAAAAGAATCACACAAGCGAACGCCTGAGGGAATGTCTTTATACTCCAGACTTCGTGATATACACAAGAGAAAGAGGCAAATTTTTAAGGACCATCCTCTACCCACTTTAGATACGGGATCTTCCATTCATTCAGAAGGCATTTCAGAGAGGACTAAGCCAACTGAAGAAGTAATTTCATTCTTTCCTGAGATCATGTTTCCAGCTAACTGTGTGCCTGAAAGTGCTCTCCCACTGTTAATCACAGAGAAAAAACTCAAGGTTGAAGTTTATGGTGCACTTGATAATTTACCAACAGTTATAAGCCCAAGTCCAGCAATGATGGAAAGATTTGGCATAAGGCCAGAATACATTAAAATGGGAAACAAATATAGGGGAAAAGGCGGATCTGAAGGGGATAAGAGTCCTCTTAGTCAGGAGCAAGCATCTCAAATGGCCCACAAGGCGGTAGCTCGTTTGTTCACAAGTGTAGGTTTTGAAGGTGGAACTGAAGTCTCAATGAAAATTTTCTCAGATTTTTTTAGTAGCCATATCAGTAAGTTAGGACGCAACTTAAAGCTTCTAACTGATAACTACAAAAAGCAAGTTTCATCTATAGAGCTTCTCAAAATGTTTCTGCAAATCTCAGGTCATGGGTGAGTTACTTACACTTAAACCTGTTTGGTTTTATTCCCTTATAAATATTGTTGTTTATTGTTTTTTTTTTTTTTGAAAATTGGATCATAAGAGAATGCCAACGTTTTGCATGCAAATAAACCAGCATTTTTTACCTTCTAATTTCGTGTTGGTTACTTGGGGCTTATATTAATGAGACTTAAGTGCACATGGCTTATTAGTTTCTTTTATATGTTAGTGCTTTGACACTGTCGGCGCTTAAAAGGGGAAAAAGAGAGTTTTTTTTAAAAGTTTGGGAATAGCTAATAATAATATTCAGTCTCTTCCAACAGAATATTTTTCAAAGATAAGATTTGGATTGTATAATGTTTAGCTTCTTATAAATGTGAAATAAATTTATGATATATTGCTCTCCTAATTTGTTATCTTATTAAAAAATTGGACTATTTAGCTCTCTTCACTTTGTAATCCAGATTATAATCCTCATTTGCTTTATGCTTCACGTCTTAGCGGACGTGCATATGAAATAAACTTCTTTCTGATTTAGCAGAAAAAAAGAAATTTAACAGTTAAACATAAAGAGAATTTGCATGGTGGAAATCTTCCAACTTAAATTTCTTCTTCAGTGAATCATTGCCAAATGTCCAGGACAGTTAATGATACATGTATTGATGATTTTGAGCAACAATGATTTGCACTGCTTTTTTAATCTGGTTTGATTTTGAAGGTTCGATTAGATGGAGTAATGCAAACTCTTCTTTATCTCTCTAGTTTTGCCAATGCATTAATCAGGAGCTCAGCTGTAAATTTGAATAAACATTTCTGGAATTTTATGGAGATTTTACCATCCTTTGCCCATGCATGGATCCTCCATGGAGATTGATAGTTGCATAGTATTGCTCTTGTTTCTATCACTTCCCGCTTAATCTGGGCTGTCATAATATTAGATGAAGCTAATATATCAAGTTTATTTACTTGGTCATTCTCTTCTTTCACTCCACAGAAATCTAGGTACCTTGGCAGAAATTACTAAAAATAGTAGCAAGGTTGGCTTTACCCATCAGACACAGCAAATTGTTCGTCAACTTCCTTCACCGCAACAAAATCCTCTTTTACAAGCCCAACAGGCAAGTATTTTCACCTCAAATTTTTTAATTTTTGAACATGTTTGCGTGCTGTTTTCTAAAATTTTGAATTTTTGAACATGTTTGCGTGCTGTTTTCTAAAAGTTAATTGACTTCTATTCCATTCTGTTGACAATTTGCATCTTTTCTCTTATTACAGTATGTCATACACTTGCATTTTAAGAACATTTAATTTAGGGTACTGGAATGATTGAATTTAAGTTTTTGACCCCTCCAATATTGGTGATGATGATTGATAACTAACCCCCAGGGAGTTTGCACTTCTTATATTGCTTGAAAAAAATATTTTTGGTGCAATTACATTTGGAATTGGGTCCTACGTGTTTAAATTTGACAAAAGTGTTGATAAAAAAATTAATTTAAGAAAATTACATGTGTGGCTTGGGAATGTTTGCAAAAGCAAATTCCCATTTTTTTTACTGGTGTTTTGTCTCTTGTGTGCATTGGTTGCAAGTTGTGGTTTAGTGGCAACAGTTTGATATGGGCTTATGTACATTAGCTTTAAATGGTTTCACATACGTATTTCTAGTCTTTTTTTTTTTTCCTTTTGTTTATTGCACATTTTTGTCTTCTAGCTTGTTATTTGGATAATTGAGATTTAAATTTTGAATTTGCTGGACCAAATAGGTCATGCTTTCCTTTTACATCATGTTTACTAACTTAAGGATGCAATTCTATAGATAAATACTTGAGGCGTGTAATTTTGTCCTGTTTGGGATTCAATATATTTATCGATTATATCTTTGGAAGATTTATAGACACATACCAATCAATTCTTATGTATTTACATATCTAATACCTAGAGTTCTATTTTACATACATACCGCCTTTCCTATGCATGAAAAAGTGTATGTCACTTCTTAAAAGTTAAAATAGTGGTATTTTTTATGTGATTTGAAAGATTTGTGTTTTATAAATGTAAAGAATGAAATTTTGGTCTTAGATATGTAAATGCATAGGAAATGGCTGGTATGTATGTAAATACCCTGCGACTTTCTTTCTTTTATTTGCTTGTTTGATTTGGAATTTTTTAAAAGTCTGGGGAAAGTATGACATCTTCCTTGGGAAATTATCTTCACTCACCCTTGTAAGACCTGAACTTTTCTCTGTATTTATGATTTTTTATTGAATCTAATTAATTATCCAGTATTTCTTTACTAGTTATGCTAACATCCCAATTTTTTTCAATGTCAATACAACTAGATTTTCAATTGGAATGCGTAGTTTGAATCATCACTTCTTCCCTATATCAATGCACCTAATTTTGCATTCTGCACGTTATAGTTTCAAAGGCAAATGCATCCCCAAATGAATTTGCTTCACCCACAAAATATAGCATTTCAGCAGCAACAACAGCAGCAGCTACAACAACAACAACAATGGGATAAGTTGAGGCGTCGACAGGTATCGGGGCGTGGTTCTGTAATGATTATAGACAAGGATCAGCCTTTGACGGATGTCAAAATCGAGAATATAGTGGAAGGACCTATCGATACAAACAGTTTCAATGCCCTCAATAAACAACAGATGCATTTGAGGCAACAACAGATGGCTATGGCAAATCATCCGACACAATCTGGACAGCATTTTAAACAACTTCAGTCTATTCAGATTCCTCAACTTCAAGCACAGCTGGCTCAGTAAGTCTTATACAATGACTAAACGCTAAGGGCCTTTTTAAATTAAAAAGAGAGGAGGAAACATGAATTTATTCATATTTCTCTCCGTGAAGTCTTTCATATCATACTAAATTCAAATTGTTTTATATTTTTTTTAATGAGTTTGGTCCTTGGAAGCTAATATCTTGGGTGCAGGAATACATTTAATATGAGAAATGTTCCGGTTAAAGTAGAAGCTTTCCAGGAACTAATGAGTGGGGATTCAACACTGAAGCTTGAACCTGATCAGAACAAACTGAACCCTCCAACAAAGTAAGCAGGTGTTTTTTTAGGATTTCGATGAAGTGGATTGATCTATCGCATCTAGTTTATTGTAATAACCTCACAACTTATCAAAATGGTGTATATTTTTATCGATAGTTTTGTAATACGAGTGTATATCTTTACTGGTGATAGGCCTGATCATCTTCTAATACTTGACGAATATAGCTTAATTATTTCATTCTTACCTAAACTTGGGGCAGAAACTATGATTGTGCATAATATCAAAACCCCATTAATATGTGGGATTGTAAAGTAATATTCATACACCGATAATATGTGAATAGCTTGTGGGTAATTAAGGCCTGTGATAAATTATTTTATGATTCCATATATATGTGATAAATAGTGGTTCATTTTTTTTTTTATCCAAGTAGTGGGAATATTGAGTGGTAAAGGAATGGTATTGAAGAAGCTGATCCCATTTGCCTTTCAATGTACTATAATAATCTTGAATAAATTTGCTAAGAACATGTTGGAGTTGAGAGTCTGTACTTGATACGAGTTACTATCTTGAAACAATAGATTGAAGAAAATCCCACATCCCTTTTATATTCTTTTGAGACATGATGGTAGAAGAATTCATATATTTGAGACTAATGAGCATCCATGTGAGAATCATGTTGGTTTGAGAACCAAAAATTTTGGTTGATGAATTTTCTCGTGAGAGAAAAAAAAAAACAAATGAAAAACTTGAGACCATGAGGGATGATAAGTGCCATTACTTTTGAAAGTGGTACTAAATTGGCATATTTTATTTTAGAGAGAAGTGGAGGTCAATGTTGCCATAGAGGAAAGGTCACAATCAAATGAGGTACTAGATGAGCTCATTTAGCAAGCTTGCGCACAAGCGGGACTATGTGAATGCTATTGCATGTGTGTGAGAAGGTTGCTGACAACAGTGTTTGTAGAACGAGTAAGGACATTGGCCAGAGGAAGGGCTACGATAGGTGTGAGGGTTGATAAGCTTGTGGATGCCAATGCACACAAATTGTAAGCATTGTAGATAATAGTAACGCGTTTGATGGGCGATGGTTGGGCTTGAGAAAAATACTGTGTTTATGTGTGTGTGTGTGTGAGAGAGAGAGAGAGAGAGTAAAATCAAGCCTTAACGAGACTTTGATATCATATTCAAATAATTAAAAACTATTTGATATATTTTAACTATTTATTATAGTGCTTATATATTGGCCAAGATAACAAATGAATTTATGAGGGTAATATCTTCAATTAAGAGCATAAATCATAGAATGCATACAAAATATTGACAATTAAAAAGTAAAAACATGATAACAATGCATATGTATATGTCCGTGCATGCGAATGATTGGTTTACTATTCTTTTCTATAAAAAAAAATATAATTTTTAATACAATGTTATTCTTTTTTTTATTTTAACTCATATAAAATTAGATTGGCAAATCAAGGCTGTTCACCTTAGATTTTATCATGAACAAATTTATGATTATAAACATGCAATTACAAGATGTTTTGACATTCATTAAACCTGAATAGTAACATGCTCTTTGCTTGGTTGAAATAACATGATAATTGATTTACTAATTTCATGGTACGTTAAAATGAAATGAAAATTTTTAAGCATGTTTAAGAATGCATCTTAAGTAGTTTAATTTAAAAAAATATTGAAGATATATTAATTTTATTAATGGTCATTCAAACGTATATTTCTTCATCATGTTGGATTGACGGTTTTTTTTTTTCTTAAAGTGGCCGAGAAATTAGATCATCAAATTGGATTTAGATTATAAAACAAATCAATAATCTTAAAATTTCAATCAAAAGTAGTAATATGCAAGTTTATGTGAATAATAGAGTTTCCAAAAGATGATTGCATTGTCAAAATGCTCTGTATCTCAGAGGTTTAGGAAAAAATGGGTAGACCTATTTTTTGCTGAAAGATGTTTTTGAAAATGGTTTGAGATCGATAGGTTTGACAATTCAAAAATGCTTTATTGGAATTGATAATTTATAATAACGACCTTAAATAATTTGGTTAGAGCTCATGTTGACAATGGTGATGTAAGAGGTTTATAATTCAGTTTCATAAATTTAAAGCTGTCAAGATTTATAATTATTTTATTTTATTTTAAATAAATTAATTTATCGATTTTTTTTTTATAGATATTTCCTTCTAAACTTCTAAACATTGCAAGTCTTAACAACTGAATTTGACACCTACTCAGAAACAATCAAACAAGAACAACCCCACCGAGGATTCACATTGAAAATGCAACAACACAATAAGAGTTATATAATAACATAATGTTATTGTATAGTATGATGAGTTATATAATAACAAGATAATATATATTAATAAAATTTATGAAGATCCACAGATTCAAAAATCCACAGATATTCCTCAGCCTTTTCTCATGGCTGAGGAATGTAGAAATATAATTAAAATAAAGAGAAATTTGCATACATAGCACACAGTTCTTGTGCATTTACATATCTCACACCTAAAAACGTATCACAACTAAAATCACAAACAAAATTCAAACATCACGCAGAATATACATTAAAAAAAAAAAAGGCTAAGGGTCACTCAGTGCACTATTTTTCTTTCTTCTTCCTTCTACCTGCAGTTGCCTGAACATCCCCTTCAGCGTTTGTCTCACATGTTCCCAGATAATTTTTACTCTTTGCTTTCGCGCCACCTCTCTGGCATTATGAGGTTTGTTTCCACTGCCGGAGAGGTGATGCGACAGCGGAGAGTCAAAATCTTCTGGGAGCTGGTGTCACAAGTGCTGAACGGGATATTCCGGGTGCAGGTGCGGGTGCAGGTGCAGCGGAAACGCCCTGATGGCCTGCTGATCTTAATTTAGATGGGAATTTATTATATTAATGATGCAATTCTCATCATATTATCATTAAAAATCTTGCTTAAAAATGTGGAGTAGCATATAGTTTATCAAATTTAATCATTTCTGACCTCATATCTAAACATTTTTATCAAGTAGCTATTATTGGAAAGCTTATGCACTCTTTTCATTTCACGATTTCCACTATCATCTCAGCTGTGTCTTTTTATTGGCCCCTAAACTCTTCTTTTCTTATGCAATGTAGTAGTTAAAGCTTCTCTGCATGTCTTATTTCATGGATTCGAGTATCATGTGATTTTTTTTTTTTAATCCTCACCCCCTGCTTTATGCCCCTCTCCTTTTGAGAATGCCTTTCTTTCGGCTGTGCATTGGTTCAAAGAATTAAGCAGAAGAATTTTATTTACGTAATGGTTATATCTTCTTGTTTGGATTAGGCATAATTGATAACGAATTAGTTTTACCATGAAAATTAGAATGCGTGCATACATTTCCTTACGATTCTCTACTTAAAAACTGACTGAAGTGTGCATTATGCTGGATTGTTTTCATTATTCGAAGGTTTGGTTATTGCTTCATGCAGAACAAAAAATGTGAGGAAATTCTCAGAACAGACTTCATTGCTGCTTCGGTTGTGATGATAATTACACGATGCTATTATGTTATGATGGGAGCAATTCTAGTGAATTTTATATATGCTTTGTATCTACATGCTAGATGAAGTTGGATTTACTCTAGAACTTACGAAGAATTCTCTGTAGGGCTCATTTGGCTGCTTGGAGTTAGTAAAATATGCTTCGATTACACTAACAAGTTGACTTTTTGATTCCTATTGCATTTGTCTTATTACTTTGGGTATGTCTAAAAAATTATTGAAAACAGTCTCTCAGATATGATGAAGGTGATGCCTACATGCTATTATTTTATCTCCTTCCTTTTTGTTACCTGCACCCCCGAATGTCCCATTCAGTAATTGCGATGCCGGCTCTCAAAAGATTTGAACTCTTTGTTGTCGCGCCCCCTCTCCAACATCTCCCTTGTTATAAGCTTTACCGCCACATTCATACCGTCAAGAGCCCATTCTTTTGATTTATAGCAATCTGTTTTGCCGAAAAAAAAATAGTCTCATTTAATTTTCTCCTTCAAATGATTCAACGTATTCTGCTTTATCTGATCACATTCATAACGCAGAAAATTCCATTGGCTTCAAACAACAATAAAGTGGTATTACCTGCAAGGAAAGAAGTTTTTGTATTTGCCACCAATTATACTTTGTCTTACTCACATAGTCAATTGTCCTGTAGCAACAAAATGGCCGCCTCTATCCTCTCCCTCTTCTGTAATTATACATGATGGTTACAATGTGATATTAACTGGTGCAGTTTAATGGATGCTGCAGCGAGCAGGCAACAAAAGAAAGAGCTTTAGTTGACAAATTATTCAATTCTGAAGGTATATTGATGAATTTCTCGTGTGCAAATTGAATACAAGAGATTTATCAGTATATCTTCAGAATTGAATAATTTGTCAACTAGAGCTCTTCCTTCTATATATTGCCTGCAAGCTCCAATATCTTTTAGGAGCATGCTCAATAGTCATGAAAGCTGCGCCAGTTAATATCAGATTGTAACCATTCTTCTTCCTAGCATAAGTCTCATCTCTGTGTCAAAGGGCTTCCATCAAGTATATCTTCATCGAGTTCAGGAACAGCCCCACTACACATAAGGCCATCGTCCTTCAGCTGATTGTTCAGAGAATTATGTCACTCTACCCGGATTCAAGATAAAAAGTTACGTACGGTCTTTAATCATGTTTTTAAATTAAAAAATAAAAATAAAAAATTAGGCCCAGTGAAATACACTTTTGAGTAGGGATGATCTACATACGGTGAACGCAGAGAAAAATTTTCCGAATTTATATGGGTGCAGCAGAGCTGGTCTAGATTAATGAGCATTGTACAATATTTATAGGTACATAATAGCATATGAAAACGAAAGTTTATTAACACCATATAAATGCTTGAAATAAATAAGAAATTAGTGAAAAGAGATATAAATGAAATAATATATAATACAATAAAAGAGAATAAAAATAGAATAATATTAAATACAATAAAAGGTATTTATGACATTCCTGTAATACTTTAATGGGTTGCTTACTAAGAAGTAAATCATGACATATCACAATGAGGTTAGTTGACTGATGATCTGTAAACCTTGCTCCTTCCTCCTTTATTTATATTTATTTATATAAAGAAATATTAAATATCAAGATAAAAATAGTTGTTTTTTAAATTTAAAAACTCAAAAGATACTCTCAAATCTTCCTCAACTGATATTTAATATTTTACACAAAAATAAATATCACAAAATTTTTATAAATTTATATGTTAGTTAACTCTTTATATTTATTTATATAGTACTTCGATAATATTCCAAATGAAGAACCTCTCAAAATAAAAAAATTTAGGTTTTTTTTTCCTACTTTTTTTTTTAAGGATTATAACTAATGTGTGCTAGAAAATTCGCAACAGTAGAGTAGTATGTTATCATCTTAATGTGGTACGAAGATTTAACATACACTCAGAAAAGAGAAAACAACTAATAATAATACCATAACTTTTTACGTGGTAAATCCGGAAAGAAAAAAACCATGAAGTCTGCCTCAGCTTAAGAGTTTTATTATAAAAAGATGATTACAATTGCAACTATTTACCCACAAACGGAAAAATATTACTAGATTTTCCAAGTTATATAGTTGATGTGATGATGAATTTGTTTCTAAGAACGGGAAAAGACTGATGGCGATTGGCAGCATTCGGTCAGTAGTGATCGGTAGTGCTCGACGACAGTCAGCGGTGGTCGACAGAGATTAGCGATGATCGATGGCCGGTAGTGGTCAACGGAGGTCAGTGTTGGTCGAAGGTGGTCAACAATAAACTACAGAGAACGACAAAAGTCGATGACCGTCGACGGTGACAGAGGTCAATGGTGGTCGACGGTGATTGGTGGTGGTGGTGCTAGAATTCAGCTTATTATCAAAGTTTTAAGCTTTTCCTCATATCTCAAACTCTTTGTCCCCTTATGAGAAAGGTGAGACTCTATTTGTAAAATTTGATGTGCAATTAATGTAGGAATATGAACCACTTTGATCAGACGGTTCAGAGAGCTTCCTTTGATTATACAACGTTTGATAGACATTTGAGTGCCTTAATGATGTTAGAATTGTGCGATCTCGGGTTCGTTCAATCAGATTATAAGCTCATCAAATTTGGCTTCCGTTTGAACTTCCAAAAATGACCAAAAAAATTCCAAAAGTTATTTAATAGCTTGATCGGGGCTTGATTTGACTTGGATTGGGCCTATTTTGGTATCATTGGGTTCGCCTCGTCAAGCTGGTCATATGACTATAAGTCTGCTAAAATTGAAACATTATATGACTTTTAATCAAAATTTGAATATTTTTTACTCAGAAGATTATCTCGAACTCCATAACGTATAATAGAATTATGTTGATGGCATATCTGATCATTTTATTATATAGATAAGCTAACAGGGGAATTCAAAAAATTTCTTTATAGGTATAATTCAACTACTTTAATAAAATCTTGACATATAAATGACCATCTTTTAGCAAGGACAAATTTATTCATTTTTGTAACGAAGAAGCACAGTTGCTATTTGACAAACAAATGGCTAAAAAAATTATTAAATACACATTTAAGTAACTGCTTATTTAATGTTTTATTAATATCATTTTATTAATTTATTTATATTTTACGCACTTTCAAACTTATATATATTTTAACAAAAAAATACGATCGCCCTAATAACAAATACTTAGATATACATATCAAGCATTTTTTTTATTATTATTTAAACCTCACCTAAATAATTTAAAATAATTCTTAAGCGAACTATACCAATTTTAATTAAAAAATTATAAAATTAATCTTTTTTAAATTATCAATAAAGTAAATATCATAAAAAAAGTACGGTGATACGAACAGAGCACTTGCCGTGCGTGATATACTTCTCGTGGTTAAGACTAGAAAAAACTAAAAAAAAAGTTGAATTGTGGAAGTTCACATTGAAGTCTAAAGGCTTTCATTCGAGTAGAACTAAAATTGAATACATTGAATGTGATTTTAGTAGTAGTAACTCTAGTAATAGGGTTTTAGCCATGGATGAACGCTTTAAATATCTCGGGTATTTTGTTCAAAGTGATGGTGATATAGATGAGGATGTTATTAGTAGAATTCAAGTTGGTTGGTTGAATTGGAGGAATGTTTCAGTCCTATTGAGCGAGAGAAAAGTACCGCTTAAAATGAAAAGAAAATTTTATAAGATGGTTGTGAGACCTGCAATGCTCATGGCTCCATGACACTGAATGTTGGCCTATAAAAGAGAAGCATAAAATTTAGTTAAGAGTTGCCAATGTGAGAATGCTTAGGTAGATGATTGGCTTTACACTTAAAGACAAAATGCAAAATGAATATATCCATGATAGGTTTAGTGTAGCTCCAGTGACAAACAAAATTAGAGAGTTTTTTTAGATGGTTTGGTGACATTAAACATCGACCATCTGATGATCCGATTAGGAGAGTAGATGTTTTAGATTCTACTTATATTAAATGAAAATATGACACTCAATAGGCCTCAATGAAAAAAAAAAAAAGGATTCATGTAGTCGACCCAACTTAGTGGGATAATAACTTCTTCTTGTTGTTCATTTTATTTGTTGTTATTGTATAATAATAATAATAATAATAATAATAATAATAATAATAATAATAATAAAATGCTTAAGAATTAAAGAAAAGTAGCTGTACATATTTTTTCGCTATGAAGAATAAGGTTGATTCCACCTTCTGCCCTCCACCATCGGAAAATGAATCATAATTGATGCGACATAATCATCATAAATATCCAAAATTGTCCATATAAATATAAAAAATGCATGATCTTAATAGAGAAAAATTGGGTCAGAAAAACCCGACCCAAATTTGATCATCATGACTTTATAATCATTAAATTTACTTTCAAGATAAATTCAATATATGATTAATCAATCAAAATATATCTCAAATTCATCTCAAAGAAATCTAATAATTATAATATCATTACAATTTGTTTTGAATTCAATATAAACTCATCTGGGCTGGGGAGCAATAATCTGGCAAAATGCAGACGGCTCTGAGGAAGCTATAGCTAATGCAGGTATCTTCCGGTCGATCGAATATTGGAAACGGTTAGAGCCGCCAAAGCTTTCAATGGATCTCATGTACTCCGACGCATTATTCTCGATGATGAGGGCATCCTCGAGTTCACGAACAATGTCAACTATGTTAGGTCGGTAAGCAGAGAAAGGTTCGATGCATGCCAATGCGGCCTCGACGATGCGCCACATTGCCTCTGCATGATAGCTACCCTTAATCTTTGGGTCCACAATCTCATCAATCCTTTGTTCCCTAATGTATGGCTTAGCCTACATTTGTATGCATAAAGATATGTAGAAGTAATTAGCTTGTGCGAAATGAACAATAAGACGGCAATTATAAAGTATAAAAAGAGCTTGTTTAGTGTAAGAGCGAGATATGAAGCGTAGTTGATGAAGAAAAACTTATTTCAGTGTTTTCAGAGAAGCTGTTTCCATGATTAGAACTTAGGATTGCTAGAAAATAATAAACGCGACCAAACCATCTGATCTGAACTTATCCTATAGGATTTGTTGTATATTACTCATAATACACATGTCCAGATGAAATCGCTCTCTCTCTCTCTCTCTCTCTCTCTCTCTCTCTCTCTCTCTACATTGGAAGATATAGATACATGCCATTTAATTTCAATGTATTTACACATCTAAATCAATTTTTACACACATGCCAGCTTATAAAGTTATATATGCGTGGACAACGATGTAGTTCACTTTATAAGAGTTAAAATGATAGCATGCTTGATATAATAAAGAAATTTTTAGGTGGTATAAATGTAAAAAATAAAGTTTAGGTAAAATAAGTAGAGTTTACTACTAGAAAAGCTAATGAGCAGATACAGCTAACTATGTGCATCATGGTGAGAGAAAAAAAAGTTCTTAATCATACCCATTCAACTAAGCTCCATTCGCTGCGGGGCCTTTGTAAATTTAGCGGCTCTCTCCCGGTGACAATTTCTAGAAGAACCACTCCAAAGCTAAACACATCACTTTTTGTTGATAGTTGTTGGGTCGAATAATATCTGGAGATGAAGAAAGCAAATCCTTCAGTTTTTCTTTTGATGTTTATTTAAAAACATGTTCTATAAAATACAAAAATATGTGCGCCAGAAAATTGAAATCTCAACTTAAAAGTTATGCCATAGTCCAACAGGCATAGCGATAAAACTTATTTAAGAATTTAGACGATTGTCCAAAGAAGAAAAAATATTCAACACCTCCCACTTGGAAGCTCGTATATCTGAGTTTTTCAAATTTGTGGCACAGCTGAAAGAATGCAAATTCCATGAATCATTGTTAGCCCAATCTCAACTACTTGAGGTAAGCATTATGAATCATCATCTTCCAACATTCCGCTCTTCCATCATTCATAAGGCGCATGATGCAAGATGCCTCGTAGTTATGATTTTTAAATGTAAATAATATTACGCATAATGTGCTTTCATGCAAAAGAGAATTGAGAATTCACAGATTATAAGTTATCACACAAACAAAAACTTATTTTCCTCAAATGATAACAAAAAAATTAAATTCAAGAAGCTTAATTGATAATAAAGTAATCTTAAATTCTTGAAAAAAAAACGCAGGCGAGAGAAGAAACTTCCCCTCTGTTCGAGAAGTCTTCTGTTTGCAGCGCAGGAAACCCCTCTGCTCTCATCATCTCACGATACACTCGCGCCGGGAGTTAGTCGGGAAAGTAGTAATGGGATTGCAACACACAAAGAACCGAAACCTACCTATCTCCTGCCGATAACTCCTCGCCTGCCCTACTCATAGCAGGGAAGCAACGATGGAATCACTCAGGCTGGCCGGGAAAGGCAACGGCGGCCCGAAACTCCCATCGCTCTTCTCCTTCCGCACCGTTCCTATCCGAAACCATGGAGGAAGATGGAGAAAGCCTGCCTAAGTTCTGCTGCGCCTCTTCCCTGTCGCACCGTAGCCTTCTCGCTTGTATTCCTCCCAGTTCGAAGGCAGCTAAGCCTTGTTCGTTCATCTTTTTCAATCCGCACACACACACACACCTGTTTTTGTTGTTCGAATCAAAGCGACGATGTGAATTCCCCTTCTCTTCGCACACAGAAACTCTTTCTTTTCCTTTAAAAAATGCAAGGATTCCAAATTCTCCACTCTTCTGCGATCTGTTCCAGGAGAAATTATTGCATCAGTGTGTCCAGTAACAGTAGGGCCACGTTGCCACGTGGCAATTTGGGCCGGGTTGTCAACACAATCAGATGTCCTGTTCGGGAGGGAATGTATATATCAGCAGGCCCACGTACATTAGCGCATTAATTGGTCATGTGATTAAAATCGATTCTTTCTCTATAAGACAACAAATGAAATCTATTTTGAGTTCTGTTTCATTTTAGCTTCAATAATGACCAGTATAAATCAGAAGAAATGGTTGAGCGCAATCAAAGATTAGCATGGGAAAATTTGTGAGAATCATTGGCATTCGCTACCGACTGCCCTCTAGACAGTCCGGCAGTGGCAGTAACGCTCGTAACGAGGGAGACGCCGGTGTATTCAAAATCTTCTGGGAGCGGGTGTCGCAAGTGCTGAACGGGATATTCAACGGTGCGGGTGACAGAACGAAAGAAGATAATTAATACATTAAGTTCTTATTGTGTTGCTGTATTTTGAATGTGAATCCTCAGTGGGGTTGTTCTTGTCTGATTGTTTCCAAGTAGGTGTCAAATTTAGTTGTTAAGGCTTGCAATGTTCAGTTATTGTATCTATGAATCCATTAAGTGTTTAGTATTGTATTTTTTTTGTCGCTTTAAGTTAGGGGTGAACGTAGTTCATGTGAAGGGTTTTTATGGTTTAACAGCTAAATTTGACAGCTACTTGAAAAATTTTATAATTATAAATATAAAAATCATACTTTTTGTGTTAGATATGTAAATAAATAGGATTTGTGTGGTATCTATGCAAATGCAAATTTCTTTTATTAGAAGATACTATAATTATTGAAAAGTTTGCGGTCTTTCTCACTAGCAAGGCAATTCTTTTTGTTTTCAACATATAATTGAATTGAAAGGGTTTAGAGATGATTTTTAACTGTAAATAATATTTGTGAAATCCCTTCAAGATGCACCCTTTGAAGTTATTTGATTTAATACATGCTATAAATCATGTAAAATGTCTTAAGATATTAAATGTTACAACTAAAATAGCTCAAGAACATAAATTTACATATAAATTTAAACGTTTTCATGTGCTCCAACCAGTACATTGAATAATCAAATATTAAGTTTGAGAATGATGCGCAAGCTAATTGGGTCACCTCGTTTACAAGACAGAATTGTAATTCCTATTCAACAAATCTGAGCCTCCTCATAAATAATAGAGTTGACGAGTCTAGTAATCCTTAATAAATTTCCAAATCCTAAAAATAAAAATTTACAAGTCCAATCTTTCAGTGTGATCATTCTCCTTGTAAGGACAGGGGTCGACAGGACTTATACCCTAAAAAAGATTAAATTAACTTTCTCATTTAATATAAATATTTTAAATGTTTAAATTCCTAATAATGGTCATGTTGATTGAAGATTTCAACCGGAGAGGTCAATCTCTTAAATCGAGATTTTTAAAATAATCAACCAAAACTCAATTTAAAATTCAATCACTAAAAGCTAAAAGTAAATTTCATCCACCCTCCGTAACATTTTGTCGAGAATGAAAAACTTCTAATTGACTTCAGTTCAGAAAGAGCAAATGTCATATCAAATGTACAAATATATTCACAATCAAATTAATTGTATGTCAAAAGGACGTGGCCCGAGTCTTCTATCCGTATGGTTATGCTGTCAAATAGCACTACAAAATAGTGATGACGGAACCATGAGATTTTGATCATGTTTTCTCTTCATTCTCCCACTATCTACTTTAAGCTCCAAGTGATCAAATTTGCAACTAAATCCTAAGCCTCTTATTATTGTATGTTAAATACTTGATTTTTAATGACCAGTCTTAATCAAAAGTGTTCTCCAGCTATCAAAAGGGGTATATTGACTACAAGGGCTTGTACCTATGGGAAACCTCGAACCCCAAATAAAAAAAAGTCCTCACTAAATAAGGACAAAATTTTTTAATAGTGACTTATCTACAATTAAATCTGCTTCTGAAAATTCAACCCTTCAAAGCTCTCAACAAAACAAAATGTGTTCCTGGGGAGCGGCCATGAATTTTCGGAGTGCACATAAATATCTGAAGAATTTTAACAAGAATTCAGAAACAGATTAAATCATAGAGCAAATCAGACATCAATTTTTAACCAAAATAAAGAGTGCCAAACTATCCAATAACAAATTCTACAGAAGAAATAGATAACGGAAGAAATAATCGAAGTAAAAAAAAGTTAGTGGATAAGATTGATACAAGATTAATCCTAATTAAGGTTTAAATTAATCATCAATTTAATTTAAATCCTAAAACAATCAAAACAGATAAACCAAGTGTCAAGTCCGACACAGTTCTGTGTCGTTTAATTTAGCCACAAGTCCAAACTTTTTGAAAATTTCCAAATCAGCCACAAACCACATGCCCCACCAACACCTCCACGGCTCAATTATAGCATGACCAAAAAACACCTAAAAACCAAGATAATTCCATACTCTATTTTATGAACTTCATGAATCTGAAATACTGCTACAGAAAATCCTAAATTCTATTTTGTGAACTTCATGAAATGCATCCTAAATTCTATTTTTGCGAGCTTAATCAAATGCATCCTTCTAGTTTAATTAAAAAAATCTTAATCCAAAACTGCCCTCTGCATAAATTGGCCTTGCTTGTTTCATACAACAGGTTATTGATGGAGATTTGAATTAAAAAACAACATATAAATAATAAGCATTTATAAAAAAAAACATGCATTTAGAAAAACATGCACAAATTTTCAACATCATCCGTAGTTTTAGCCTACCTGTTGTGATTTAGTTTTTTTAATCCATTTTTCCATCAATTTCTATTTAGAGAGTGGAGCAAAAACAAAGGAAAAAACAAGGCGAATTTCAAGGAGACCAACCATACAGTGGAAAAACTCATCTATCCCAGAAGTACGCCTGCACAACAGCCTTCAAGCAAGAGAAATGCAAAGAAGGAAGATTTACATAAATACCACTTAATTTCTATGTATTTACATGTTTTACATATACAACCTCGCCTATGCATGAAAAGTGTAGTTTACATTGAATAAAATAATGGTATTTTTTATGAGTTATGAGATGTGAAATATTTGAGTGGTATAAATGTGAAAAATATAGGTGTTAGATATGTAAAAACATTGGAATTGTTAGTATAAATGTAAATGCCCCTACAAAGAAATATAAAAGAACTGAAACCCTGCTGCTCAATAAGCAAATAATACAACAAGAAAAAACAACACATGTAACAAAGATGAATCTAAGCATATTAACAGCACAAATATGAATACCTAAACTTACTCAGGATCAAGGTAACCGGCTGTTCCTCTGACTTCCAAAGAAGCGCCACTATCCCCCTCTTGTGGTGCATATTTAGAAAAACCAAAGTCCGCCACCTTACCACACATACTATGATCCAGAAGAATATTGCTGGACTTCACATCACGATGAATTATGCATCGTCCAGGAAAGGTATGCAAATATTGTAAACCTGAATAAAACATACCAAAGAGGATAAATATGATCTTGTCATTGAGTTGCACCAAAGTGCTATGTATGCAAATATGAAAGTTTAGGTGTGAGATATGTAAATACATAAGAATTGTGTGCTAGGTATGTGAATTTCCCTTTTATTTTTTGTCATCATCATCATCACCATCATTTTACATAATTACAAATTACAAAAATTAGAACCCAACTGATGAGTTGCCATTTATATACAATTTAATCAGTAAATGCCAAGCTCAATAAGAACTTTGGTGCCCCATGTAATGAAAAACTAGGAAGCATATAAGAAGAATATTCAACACCTACAATCCCTTATATAGCTGAAATAGTTTGCTCAGAACTTTCATTTATGATATAGGTATCATTAAAATGGTTGCACACTTTCCCTAGAGAATCCAGTATAAATAGCATAAATTGCATAAAGCATATGCTAAAAGCCTCTTCAAAACATGCTAAATCGCTGCTAATGAAAACTGAACAACTAAGAGAAAAAGAAGAAATGAAAATTAGTAATTACCTTATTTATTTCAAGATTTTTTTTAAGTTCACAATTTCAACTTGTTTGAAAGCTAAGATAATTGTGATCAGCAAACATCGCTTCAATGAATCCTCATGCAAAAAAAGGATCTAATTAGTCCATTCCTTTGAATGACTAGTGGATGTTACGAGAAGCACTGAATTGTTCATACTGTCTTTAAGAAACTAATAATAAAATGAGGAAATTATTCTGGAAATAAGAGAATAGAACTTTTCTTGCCTCTAGCAGCACCGAGCGCAATAGAAAGTCGTGTTGGCCAGTCTAGAACTTTTCTTTTTGATGCCTCCCCTGAGGATTCATTAAAATTAATAGACAGAAGAAAATGAATGATTAACCGAAACCTATTTGATACAAAGCTGAATACCATATAGCCGTTCTTGTAAAGAACCGTTGGACATGAAAGGGTATACTAGAATTTGCTGATCACTTTCACAGCAGTAACCGAGGAGTGGAACCAAGTTCTCATGCCAAAGTTTCGAAAGGAAGTTTACCTAGAAAAAAAAAAGGTTATTTGTTAGAAAAAAACTAAATTTTATATTTAATTTCAAGAACAAGTCACAATGACTGTCGTGGAAAAAAAAAAGAGGGTGAAATAAATTAAAGTGGCAGTAGCATCGAACTAAGCTAAACTTATGTGATATCTCTAACGTAGATAATCTATGTGCAAAGATAATGAAAAGTATCATTCTGATTATTTCTGCTTTACCAAATAAGAAGATGATAAATTGTCCCGATCATAGTACAATACAAGGTCCTCTTGAGGTTTGAAAAAATGATGAAAGCATGCCGTTACAAACATGGAATCAAACTCCCGGTTTCTAGGAAAATATAGGCTATAAACAAAATAATAAGCCGTACACAGAAAATAAACTGAAACTAAAAAGTAAAATAATAATAATAAAAATAATAATGCATTTACAACTAGCTTGATTCATAAACGCTCAAGCAAGACCATTCAATTAATGAATAAACAAACTTTCATGCTAAAACTACAAACTGAAATACCATTCAAAAACTAGGCTCAATGAGCAAAATGAAATCTTAAATTTTTTACCTCATTATCAAACTCACGTGTCCCCTGCACTGATGTGGTTGACCGCACCTTCACCGCAACTTCTTGACCAAGTGAAAGTGTACCACGATAAACTGTCCCAAACCCACCTTCACCTATTAAAGTTTGGTAACCACAGGTTGCTTTTTTAATGTACTCAAGAGAGAAAGTCTTCACTTCAGATCCAGGTTTATTGAGAGTGTATTGGATGCTGGGGTCTGCGAACCCCAAAGCTGCATATTTGAGTCAAAACTCAATCTAATGAACATACATTTTTTTATCAGAAAAAAAGCACAAACATAATGTTTAATAAATGCACATCTCCATGAATGCAAATGCCCCTAAAGAAAAATAGTAAACAGGGTTCCTAGATCTAAATATCACTTGGTTAATAAATGCACATCTCCATGTAGCAATTATGTGTTCTCTGAGAAAGATAAATTAAAGCAAATAATGATGAAAAAATAAGAAAGATACTGTCCAAATAACTTTTTTGTTCCAACAATAAACAATCTCCAACTACGGGGCAAAGTAAGCTTTTAAAGAATATAGAAGCCATACTCTTAGTAACTGGGTAACCCCTTTTCAAGGTTCGACGAGGACGCTTGTAAAAGCAGCTAAAAATAATTCCCAGTGTTGCTGCAAAAGATGCACCAGCGACAGTGCCCATGACATGAATATTACTTTTTTGAGGAGTTGAAGCAATACACCCAGAGCTGCAAGCAAAAAATAAAAAATAATGATAAATAAAAGGTACAGATGGTTTCCCACCAATGCTTAAAGATAAGAAAACTCCTCGGTAGCTTACAAGAGAGTAACATTTTTTCTACTTGACAAGCTGGATGGAATCTGGCTGCTTAGCTGTGGGTTGCATTCAATGGATCTAGAAAAAGAGCACAAGTACATGTTAAAATTGAAAAATACAATTAAAATTTCTTGACAATGGTCATTATAAAATGTCATTTATTAAGAAATCTATCAAATTTGATGAGAGATATTTGGAAGGAATGAAAAAAAAAAAGCAAAAGGGTAGTAAATCAAGTTGTAACGTCTGATAAGATAAAAGTTACTAGCATACAGTTTTGACAAATTAGGAAGAGAAGCCAAGGAATCCGGAATAGACCCAGAAAAATTATTATACCGCAGATCCCTGCACATAAAAAGTGAAGGAGAACCTTAAGTTGATGGCATAAATTTCATAAAGAATAAATAAATAATTGTGCATAAAATTAAAACATACAATTCGGTAAGTTCTATAAGATCTCCAATTACTGCAGGAACTTCTCCTTGGAGGTTCATTGATGAAAGATTTCTGAGTAAATTATGTAAAAGTTGTGCCCTTTAGCATTTAGCTATGTACGAGATAACAAAAATGAAAAGTGTCGAAATTATAAAAATCTTTCACAGAAAAAACTAATTATAAGAAAATGGTAAGGTGAGATAACAAAAAAATAATATTAAATAATATGTAAATAATAATAAAAGGGCATGGAAGCATGGTGAGGCCCTGTAGACCAGGAAGGCACCACAGATACCAATTGAATTCAACAAGTCTGTTATTGTTAGAGAAAAGACTAGCCTGCTAGTTTCTCATTGTTTTCTCATCGTCAAGACAAACTTACATCTTTGTAATGGCAGAAGAACCATTCTTCTCTTCACAGGCCATGCCAAGCCAGGAAGCAGGACTACATGGGTCGCCTTGCCAACTCCTGAAGACCTCATGTTTAGAATTTTCCACCATCAGCTCATGCTTGAGTTTCATGACAGCAACCACTGGAGAATTTTTAGAAATCACATTAACCACTTAATATGAAAGAAACCAAAGGTCATTTTCCAAGATAAAAAGGATTAAGAGAGAGATTATTTCTTAGGTTGAAAAAAAAAATGCTTTGTAGGATGCACTAATCACTGCTCAAGTTTAAAAGCCCAAACTAATTCTTTCCTTGTCTATTTTGGGTAGAAAATTCTTAAGGTTGAAATTGCACTCCAAGTTTATTATACTGGCTTTTTGGTCAATACCATGCTTTAAGGATTAAAACCACTTGATTTAATACTACTTCAAATATGGGGCAAAGTCAGCTTTCGATCAATCCTTATCCTAAGTTTATAAGAATTCACTTTAGTCCTAGCTAAGCTCATTCCCAGAACCTTCTCCATTTTTACATTTATCTACAAATTCTCTTCTTCCAGGGTATTCCTTTATGTAATGAGAAGAAGCCATAAAAAATGCCCATGGGAGGAATGCAGTAGGGTTGACAAGATACTGGGAGAATTTTAAGTATATATATGAAGTCAAATCCAAACTCTCACACATCGAGCTACTATCTGCTTCAGCCAAATGGCCCCATGGTTTTGTCCCTTCAGCCAAATGGCCCCTTGATTTTATCCCCTAAGTGTAACTTCCTAGGAAATCACCCATCCTGAGAGTGCTTGCATATGAGAAGGCTTAAATTTGGAGTTTCTATCAAAACTCTTAACTGTTGCACTCCATGATGTTTAAATGTTCAGCTTCAACTTACTTAAGGGGGTCCACATATGAGTAAAGTTCTCTGAGGCAGAGCACATAAAACAGTAGAAAGCAAGTAGGCATCCTCGTGAAACATAAATTCCATTATTTTTTAAGTGCATTTTTATAAATTGAAAATATATGCAAATGAACACAAAATAATTATTGTTAGTTGAAATATATGCTTGCAGACCGGCATCAAATTATGAATAGAGTTGATCATTAATTTATGCATAATCATGGCAATAAAACTCAGGTATAATAGATTTAGAAGGCTGGGAAAGTATATTATACCATCTCTTTGAATCGTTTCAGTGTTTCTTCGGAGCACCTGATAGATCTCATAAGCACTGCAAATCGGCCCATATTTACCATTGACCTGAACTTTGACTAAAGAGATATTGAGAAAACCATTTGATTTCACCCGAAGGGTGACTACTCTGTAGTTAGAAAAATTCTCATTATCCAATATATCGAAGTTGGCTTGCTTTTTATAACCATTAACATATATATCAAAGACCCTTTGCCTAGTTTGCACATTGACATCAAGCTCGAGGAAATGAAGAACAATAAGTAAGTCATCATGGTCTGTCACAAGACTCTTCAGATTAAATATCAACCGTTCATTATCCGTGATAGCCGTCTGGAGAACTTCTAGTGGAACAGAAACATTAGATCCACGCACAGTTGTATTAGGTGATTCCAGTATCTTGCCTCTAATAAAACCTGCTTCCTCATAATCAACATGCCAAATGCGGTCTGCAAGATCCTTGGGAAACCTAATCACCAGAAGAAAAAAAAATGATTTTTTTCATTGCCTGTATTTATGGTAACATTGCATGAAAAAGTTCACAAAGGCCGTCTTCACTAAGGATTGAGCCAAAAAAGAAAGGGGGCATTTACATACATAGCACACAATTCTTATGCATATACATATCTCAAATCTAAACTTTAATATGTACACACATAATGCTCAAAGCTTCAATATCACATAAAAAATAGCAATATTTTCATGCATAAGTTTGAAACACCAAAGTGCTAGATATGTAAATACGAAGGTTTAGGTGTAGATATGTAAATACATAAGGATTGTGTCTACATATGTAAATCTTCCAAAAATAAATTGTACCGGTAATCGAGATTCTTATTTCCAAGATCGATACGAGTAACCAACTTCAGAATCATAGACGAATAGCCTTGAAGGTAAAAAGCATCGTTTAATGGCCTCAACTCTAACTTCGATATATAAGCATTACCATCCTCACTTCGAAGGCAGAAGCTTGTGTGGTAATCAGTGGCCGCATAGATACCTTCTACCTCCAAATATTCTAACGATGAATTAATTTGAGAGATTGATGTGGATCCAATTGAAAAGTTAAAGGTGTTTCCCGTTAAAAATTGGGGCAACTTGCCATTCATAAATGTAGCCCTCACTAGGTATTTCTGGCTTTTAATTACAGGAAGATAATAGCAGAACCTTTTAGAATAACTCTCATTAAAGATACGGGCAATTTTATGGCCAGAAGTTCCAGAAGCAGAAAAGTTCTCGCATCTCCCAGCACCATTAAATATATGGTCATCCGATGTCCATTTTAAGTTAGTTCCTTGATCAGTAAAATTTGATGGTGCACAACACTGAATGCTAATAAAACCTGCACACCCAATCACAGTTTAATCAACCAAAATACCATAGAAATACAAAAATTTCATATGAAACCAACTTTAGGATGCAGGTTTCAAGCTACACATGATTGCCGAGTGAGGAAATAAAATGAAAGAGAAAAGGATTGAGTTTCACCAAGTTTGCATTGAAACAGAATCGAACACATATTACCTTAACAGTTTAGTAGCATTAAACAAGTTTTTAAATAAATCAACAAAAACTATTGTGACATGAATTACCAATGAATAACACCAGTTTCATGTTAATCTCTGAAAGCCAGAAGACACAACAATAAAATATAAACTTTAGGTACTTCTACATTAACTATCTATCCTGAAGCCCGTGAAAAGGTTGACAAACAAAAAAGTCAATCATGTTTTTCAACTATTCAATTAATAAGAGAATGTTTGGTCAGCCAATGAAATGATGCAAAATGCCTTTATCATTATCATTATTAGCAAGTGATGTAGCTATAATGATAAACTACAACTAGCATAATTTATTCCGATCAGTTCAACGATCTATGCTACCATCAGTCCTTCCCAATTTATTGTTTATTCCAGTTCCTAATGTATTTAGATACAGAGCAGCAAAATTGTTGGCACCTCTCAATCATGGTTCCATTGAGGGATTCGAATATGGATAAACTAAAAAACAGAACCAACCTAGATATAATCAGATTTTTTAAATTTGAGCTGGCTCTCAAGTTCTTAAAATCTATGATCCACAAAAGCTGGCCAATTCTCATTTCCAACATAAGGGTCTATAGATCAAACATCCATACCATAGATGTATATGGATAACTATAAATACCTACAAAAATTCAAGCATAGTTATAAGTTGTGCATATCTATAACAATTATACAAGCCAATAAAATTGAGTGCTTAGTGTAAGTAGAAAGAAGATCTTAATGACAGATTTATGCTGAATAAATACATTTAATATGAAATAATTAAGAAGAGACAAAAAGTCTCTAATTTCTGTAGAAAAACTAGAGCATAAGAAACCTTACATAGCACCCAATGAGATGGAGGAGGATAAATGCCAATGAAGATGATGATGCGTTACTTATCCTTAAATATGATACCTAACTAAAAATATAGGCTCATAATTGACACCAATAACACAGTTTGAATGAACGATGAATAATTTAGTTATCAATATGTTAAATCCAAAAGTGTCCAGAAACACACCCAAGAAATAGAATGTTCTGCTAAGAAATGATTAGAGAGAGAGCACAATAGAGAACAGTAAGTAGAGTTTAGCTTTTATTCATGATATGGATCCCCTATTTATAGGCATATATCTCAGTATTACAAAAGTACATATTAGTCCTCTCATCATTAACTTTTTAGGGAGACTTTTTGGTAATTACAAAGCTATTAGCGTATAATAAGATCGAAAAACCGATTCGATCGATAATAGTTTGTCGAATGTTAGGTGTGCCTTGACTTAATTGATATCTAATCCGACTAAGAGTTTTATATTGATTGTCCTGAGTGTTGATCCCCACCTTGTGGAAAATCTTCTGGCACGTTCCGCCGATTGCTGGAACAAAACGACTCCCTTGCCAACATCCAGCTCAAGGCGGTCAACAGTTATGCCCGGTCGTAAGTATCATCTTCTTGAACCGTTCACCTATCTTGAGATTCGTGCAAACATATTTTTATATGTACACAATATCTAGGCAAAAAATGATACCGAACTAAAATTATAAAGGATATCAATCATTATAGCTAATAAGAAAACACTACATAAATCTGCATTCCAGTAGAATGTTCTGGTCAACAACCTCTTAAAACTTACTTTCCACCGATTTAACCCTAATATCAGCTAAAATTCTAAAATATCAAACAAACTATCCATCCTTAACCACCTTTCTAACTCCAAAATTACTTAAATTTCGCAAGGCCTACGAAAATGACCAGATGGATGGCAACATCCAATCCGCTGTACATAAAAGACACTCAAGTCAAACGTCCCGAACCGATCGATTCCACAATCAAAACCTCGTCAAACTCGTCAATCAACAAAGATAAACAAATCTACACACTGTATCAATTCAACAATTCACAGCACTCCAATCCGCCTCCAACGATAAAAACAAGCAAAAAAAAGGAAGAAGATGATGAAACAATCGCCGCCGATTACCTTCCTGTGCACAAACCAAATGAAGAAGGGCAAAGACTAGCGCGATCTCGATCGCGATCATGTTCATCCTATCTACAGGGTTGAAGCGGGCGGTGCCAAACCATGTTACCTCCTCTTTCTAAATGATCTCAAGGAGATTCCTAATGTTCCTTCCACCCCCATTTCGCCACCCTTCGCCGGCGAATTGAGTGGGACACTGTCCCCGCTTAACGCTGAAGTTCGCCGGCGAGGTCTTGAAGTCTACTTCGCCGAGTAGTCGTTTTGAATTGGTCAGTAGGCAGACTCTCAGACGTCGCGGTTTCCTTCCCGCACTTATAGTACCGAGTAGAGCAGTGAAGGGTTTGCAAGTTCATCCAATGAGTTTATTGATTTACAAATCTACCTCAAATTATTATTTCATAAAAAAAATGAATATTTGCAGAATGCTTTATTTTTTACAATCATTTAAATGCTTATAAATGAACATAATATTTTATCTTAAATTTAAAATCTCTTGAAACACATGAATTGTATTTTTTAAAAAAATTTCTTACAAAAATAGTTTACATTTATATTTCCGGCACCACTCCTAACTAATCAGAACAACTATCTCATAATATATTTAGAAAAAAAAAATTATATGACATCATGGGTATTTCGTCAATTAAAAAGCGATCTTGCCTAACGTTGTGTTTTTTTATTTTATTTATTTAGACTTTTTCTATAAATTAAAAATAATTGATTTATTTTATTTTATTTTATTTATTGTGTTTAGGATCACTTTAGGTTATATATATATATATAACCTAAAGTATATATAACCTAAAGTGATCCTAAACACAATAAATAAAATAAAATATAGTAGATTTTTTTTTTTTTTTTTTTTTTTTTTTTTTATTTTTTGGGCGGTCAGTGACGGTCAATACTTTTTAGTTCAATTTAAGTCGAGTCTAATCTAATTTCATGTTGTAATTGTGTATTTTTTTCATTTTTAAATACTAATTTATTTTTTTTATTTCTGATGTAATATTAATACAACAACAACAACAAAGCCTTAATCCCACTACGTGGGGTCGGCTACATGAATCCTTTTTCTCCATTGCGTCCTATTTAGTGTCATATTTTCATTTAGTTCTAGTAAATTAAGATCATTTTTAATACAATAAGCCCAAGTCTTCCTAGGTCTACCTCTGCCTTTCTTAACACAAGTCGAATTTAAAGCATCTACTCTCCTAATCGGATCATCTAATGGTCGACGTTTAATATGACCAAACCATCTAAGACGACTTTCTCTAATTTTGTCTGTCACAGGAGCTACACCAACCCTATCACGAATATATTCATTCCGCATTTTGTCTCTAAGTGTAAATCCACTCATCCACCTAATCAAATTAAAAATTAAATTGTATTAAATTTAATATATATAATAGAAATTATATATTTTTGAATTCTTTCAAGACATGTTCCATATTGTCCCCTTACTAACAGTGAGCTAAAGAGAAAAATAAAAATAGAGAGGAAGAGAGAGCCCTTCTTTCTCCTCTATTTTACATTTGACTCCTATTTATAAATGTTTATGCCTTTTTTTCATAGTACAAAATAAAGAATATATATAAGATACATAGTAAATTTCTGTCATGTCATGCATATTTATGTTGGATCGTTATATATAGTTAAACTGGACAGCTCAAGAGCTCAATATCTCGGCATCTTAACAAATAAACCAGCTTGAATGTTGATGCGGACATTGGTTTGAGATCATGTGTGGGCCAAAATCAACTAAGATTTGTTTATAATAAAACCTTTACACATGACGTTATTAAAAAATTTTGGCTATATCAATTTTTTTAAATTTAGTAACCGAAATTAATTAGTTCAACCAACTCCAAAAATGAAGCAACACTTCTACTCCAAAATATTATCTCGTGCTAACATACATACCACTCAATTCTTATGTATTTACATATTTAACATCAAAATTTTATTTTTTTACTTTAATTCCACTCCAATTATTTATATCACATCAAAAAATCAATATTTTGGTTTTAAAAAGTGAAATATATCTTTTCATAAGCATGTAAAGGTACATGTGAAAAAATAAATTATGCTAAGTACAAAAAAAAATGTAAAATAAAAATGAAAAAATAATCCCCTATTATTTATATGGGGTAGTTTCAATCCAAAAATTTATAGAAATATCAAAATAATCCTGACTTTTTAAATCGAGCCTTAAATAATTCACCTGAAGAATTATTAAAGCTCAATTTTTTAAATAATTTAAATTTATTTTGACACTAGCCCGTAAAAAAGCGGGACTATATTGGTATGTATTTCCTACCCCCAATTGCCTGATATCTCCGCATCTATAAAATAAAGCGGAAGTAGATTTCATTAAAAATTAATCATACGATTTCTGATTGTTTCCACAATCAACTAATTATTTTTTAAAAAAAGAAAAATCTTCCTGCTGCGAATATTTTTAATCTCTACAAATTAATATATAATTACAATTTCCGTAAAAATAAACTCTGTTACTAATGTTAGCAAGTCTACAACAACGGACAAATTACATATAAAAACAAGAAACAACTTGCATATATATATATGAAGAGATGTATTTTACATTTTAGAAGTTAAGGGGGTACATACATAGATAACACCCAATTCTTAAGTGAAATACAATTTTTCATGCATAGGTTGAAAGCACCAAAGTGCTATGAGGTGTGTGATATGTAAGTATATAAGAATCGTGTGCCATGTATATAAAATCTTGAAGTTAAAAACAGTGATATTTTTTTATGTGGCATGAATGATATGGGTGGTAAAAATGCAAAAATGCAAAGTTTAGGAGTTTAGAGATGTAAAATGCAGAGTTTACATGTAAAAGTTTTCACCAACTGGATCTGGCTACAAACCTGGCAGCCATCAATCCACAGACATAGGTTCAGACCCACGAGCACCGGCCTCGTCAATGCTACTCTTCTGCTCTTCCGCCACAGTCCTCAGCTCATCCATCAAACTCTTCTGCTCCTCCTCAACGGTGTTCTGCAGTTCATCAACCTATGGACACCACACATGGAATCACAACTTAACAAAAATAATACTCTGACAATGCGATTTGGAGAACTTTACATACATGGCACCCAATTCCTATTTATTTACATATAATACACTTAAAATTTACTTTTTTACATTTATACTACCCAAATCTTTCACATCACATAAAAAATACCGATATTTTAACTTTAAAAAAATAATAATAATAAAAGACACATTTCCATGCATATGAAATGTTGCATATATGTGAAAATTGAAGTTTAGGTGATGGATAAGTCAATATATAAGAATTGAGTGGCATGTATGTAAAACTTCCCTCCTAACAAAGTTGACATAGCAAGGAATTTGTCTTTCTAGAAAATACAGAGAAAAATAAAAATCTGCCTGCCAGCTAAATTCATGAGTACGCTAAATATTAGGAAAAAAATAGAAAATTTGAGCGTGGCCGTTAAGTATTTAGAAAAGATAAACTAAACAGGATGAATGGAGTGAAATGAATAATAATAAGGGTACTTACATACATACCACACAATTCTACTGTATTTATATATCTAACACCAAGCATTCATATTTAGATGCATACCATTAAAATCTTCAACATCACATCAAAAATACCACCAACACCACCTTTTTAAAAGTGAAATACACCTTTTCATGCATAGGTTTATGTCACCAAGGTCTGATAAATGTAAATATCAAACTATGGGTGGCGTTAAATATGTAAATACATAAGAATTGTGTGGCATGTATATAAATTTCCCATTATAATAAGGATGATCTGCATGCATACCACTCAATTCTTATTTATTTACATATCTAACATATAAACTTCCATTTTTACTGACATACCACCTTACCTAAGCATGAAATGGTGGACTTCACCTTTCAAAAGTTAAAATGGTGGTTCTTTTGATGTGGTATAAATATAAAGAGTGAAGTTTAGATGGTAGATATGTAATAAATAAGAAATGCATGGCATGTATGTAAATTTCCCATAATAATAACCTTCGGAATATAGTTAAATTCAGAATTCATAATTACCACATGTAGCAGAAGCGAGAACTGTTTTTTCCTGAGATCAAGCAATCTCACACCGGCCGCATTCTCTGCCTCCAACGCCGCAATTTCTTTCTCGAGATTTGAAATGGTCTGCTGGGTTTCAGACCTCGGCGGCTGCAGTGCAATCAATTTCCTGATCGCTTCGCATTCCTCTTTGTGCTGCCTCTCAATCTTGCTCTCCTCGAGCTGCTTCTTCAGATCTTCGATATCAGCCCGAGCTTGCAGAATCTGGCCATGGATTTCCTCCTGAAGCTCATTGAAGCTCTCCTTCTCTCGGATATTGGCATCGACCACCGCCTTACTTTTAATGAGCGGCATCTCAAAGGTGGCCAGCTCCTGTAAGAAGTTCTTGTGGAACTTCTCGCACTCATTGTAGTTGTCGAGATCCTTCTCCACTTCGAGCGTGAATGTGATGAATTTCTTGTTGAGCTTCTTCAATGGTGGTTCGCCCCTCGTGGTTGTAGTGCGTGTGAGAAGTCTATGTTTGATTATTGCATCATCGTCTTGAGGACTAAAGGCGTAGTTCGCCGCCATTTCTTCTCGCCCAACAGCTTTTCGTACCTTGGCGGACATTTCTATGAGTGTAGCCCACAAAGGAATGAGTAATGTCAATGTTAACCATTGATTGAAGAAAGACATGAATTTTTCACCAATTAAATTTAGAAAATTTTACATAAGTCGCACACAATTCTTATGTCTATGCACATCTCACGCCTAAATTTTGATATTTACATGCACAGCATTCACATGCCTTAAAAATATGTATTTGACTTTTAAAAAGTGGTGATAGAACTATTTTTTATGTGATATTAAAGGTTTGAGTGCTAGGAGTGTAAATACAAAAATTTAGGTGTGAGATATGTAAATACATAAGAATTGTGTGCTATACATGTAAAGATGGCATTTCAACAAAAAAGCTTGGAATGATCGTCAAATCCTTACATCTTATTCTCTCTCTTTTTTTTAAGGACAATTTATGCAACTAGGAGAATAACCATCTGAAATCTAACAAGTAAAATCAACCAAAGATCATTAACATTTCTAACAGTCAAAACAGCTAACAGAAGCAATTTATGGTTCTAGCAAAATGGTAATTTGAAGAGCCCCATCTATGAAATAAAGAAAGCCTTTTTGAAGGTATATATACAGCAAAACTCCACGTTTGGAGACCCAAATCTCCTTATCTTCTTGCATTGAAAGGGTATCAGCCTTTGCATTGATAAAACAGCCACGGATGCAGAAGTATTGATCGCCCAACAATATAAAAAGAAATTATCTTTCAGTGAATTTTTTTAAAAATATTATTTTTCATTAGTCTTCCCTAATATTTGGTTTTAAAGTCCATTTCTAAGGAAAGTGAAGATATACCAAATAGAGGTGACGATATTGATTTTTGGTAGGAATGTGCTCGTTAAATTTCTAAACCAAAATCAAATCAAAGATTTGCACAGAAGAGACATCATAGAAGCATAAAGAAGAAAATATTGCATTGCGTTGATCATTAAAGGCAAATGAAACCCTCTATAATCCCTTGAATTTTAAACCGGGCTGCAAGCAACTTGTGGCTCTTTTTCTATTCGTTCTTTAAGCAAAAGAGTCCAACACAAACTTTTTTTAAATCAATTTATAAACAAGCTAAACACGAACAGAAGATTATTTGATCGTGCTCAGCCCTTTTCAGCTCGAATTAATTAAATAAATAAATAATAATAGAAATTATAAACTTTTTTATATTAATTTTTATACAATTTTTTAAAAAACTATAAGCTTCATTATTTTTTATATTATTCACGGTGATTCAAGCCAAACACAAGCTGAAACAAACAAAAGAATCTAGGTTGAGCAAAACACAAACCCACTATTCACGAGTCATTTCGAACTCGAGCTGATTTCAAAAAAATTTTGAACGGACCATACAATAACAAACACTAGCTAGGCTTGCACAAGCTCGGCTCCTTTACAGCCTTAGGTGAAATACAAACTATTCAGCATTAAGCAATTTCTATTGGTGCTACACAATAGCACAATCACAGGAAGATTGCTTTAACCAGCCTATAAGCTTGTTTAGGTAGAAAAATCCAATCATGATTTTCTTCTGAGAAAAAACATATCCCTATAGCGATTCGGAAAAAAACTCCTTCATCCAATGCAACCAGCTTTTTATAATCAGATTAATACGAGCAAGATAATTTTGGAAGATGCCAGAATAAGCTACAACCCCTAAATCAATAATCTGATTAAAATAGCACATATAACAAATACGAAAAGAAAATGCACAGAAAATTTTTAAGGCTTCCAAGAGCAACAGCTTCTATTAAGCTTTAGAGAAAACACGATAGTCTGCATGATTGACGGGCACAGGCAAAGAGAAACTAAGGAAAAGCATTTATAGGTTTTATGTGGTTCAAAATCCTTACAGAGTACCTCAAATTGCTTCAATCATTTTGTTCCCTATTAGGTTATAATTCAGTTATTGTTCCTTTACATTGAAAAGAAGAGAACTTCTAATTTCTTGCTGACTTTTAATATGTGAATCATTTTAATATGTGAATCATCATGTTCCATTGCATGAATTTATACATTATATTAATTGCATTAAAAACCTTAATCCTAACTTGTCCTATAACGATATAGACAGTAAGAATCCTAAGTTGACATCCTTAATCTCCTATTTAAAAGTTCATATTTTGTTATTGTCTCGCTAATAGGAGAATTGATCTCCAAGCCATATAAAAAGTATTAGTCATCCTTTGATCATCTTTGTATTTTTATTTCATCAGTGTCCCGTAACACCTAACGGGAATTTACATGTATATCACACAATTCTTATGCATTCACATATCTAACACCCAAAATTTGATATTTTACACTAATAAAACAGTGGTGTCATAATTTTATGCAAGAAAAGGTATATTTCACTTTTAACAAGATAGTGATGGTGCTATTTCTTATGTGATGTTAAAGATTTGAGCAATATGCATGTAAATATTAACATATAGGTGTTAGATATGTAAATACAAAAGAATTGTGTTGCATGCATGTAAATGCCCCAACATCTACTTTTCAAGCCACACTCGTAAGGATGGGCAACAGAAGAAGTGAAAAGTAAATGTCAACATGGAGATGGAATGGATCTTAGTTTCTAGTATGATTGCACTGTTTGGTTCGGCTCTGAAGTGAATCCTACTTGAAACCGAACAAAAATTTTAAAAGTTTAAAACTGCACCGTAGAACTAACCAAACTTTTTGACTTAGTTTCTGAATAATTTCCATAAGAATCACAACACTGAAATTACGCATAAGCTAGCAAAATTCTGCATTGATAATCAAAGCCAATCGAACCTATAATTACGAAACTGCATTGAAGACCACAAATTCTGTCAAATCCAATCTAAACCTAAAGATTAATCACTCAAGAACTAAATAATAATAGCCTATCAAGATATTCTATTGCCGCTATATCGGATAATTATAGCATAGAACACTAAACTGATAAAAAAAACCACGTAGAAAAACACGAAAAGAAGAAGAATAATGTATGGTTGAACGATACTGCTACCTCCAGTTAGTAGTGAACAAAGTCGAAGCGTTCAGGTGAGATATCTCGAAAAAAAGAGCGGGAGACACGAACTGTTTCTGAAATCTCAAATCCACTGATCAAGCTCGCCGATGAGGTTTACGGATTGGCGAGTATTTCTTGGTGAGCTCTGGACAAGCAGGAAAGCAGGAGAGGTCTCCGGCAGCGGCTACGAGGGTTTCGATTGGGGGCTTTAGCGAGGGTGAGGAAAATTTCTTATTTATTACTAGTGCAATTTTATAATGATTTATTAAACGAAATATATATATAAACTATAAAATTGGTCATATTTATTTCTCATAAATCGTTTCAAATTAATTTATTTGTAATGAAAAGTATTAAATGTTTCTTATCATATTAATCTGAGTCATGTTTAAATTGATTAAATTTAAATTTATTTGCTTTCTAAATACACATTATTTATTGTACTCTTAAATGCTTTAGGTTTTAAACTTTTTTATCATTTATATCATTTCAAACAACAATAATTTCTATATCATAATAAAATTTTAAGAGAGCATAATGTTAAAATAAATGAAATTGTAATACACTTAACAAGATTAACAATCATAGAATTAAATTATTATATAAATTATAAATCTAATAATATAAAAAATTTTCCATTTTCAAAATTCTGATGTTAAAAAACAAAACTTTCATGCACTGCCAGATTCACACACTACATATCGAATATTGAACGAATAAGTTTATTTTTAATTTAATAAATAGGTAAATTATGGTGACATCAAACATCGACCATCTGATCTGATGTCCGATGAAGAGTAGATGTTTTAGATTTGACTTTGTTAAGATAGAAAAAAGTAGACCTAAAAGTGATTTAAAAAATTATTGCTTTAAATAATTATAGCCACAAATACTTCACTTTCTACTAATTTTGATAGCTTCAATTCGAAATTAAGACTGAAATCGTTGAAACAATCACAACCATCAAATTTACTGGAGTTAAAATATTATATGTTTTTTTATAAAAAGGTTCTTACATAACCAAGACCCAAAACATTAATAATTTAGGTGGTTAATATGTAAAAATCCCATAATCTGAGGATTGAAGCCAAACGCTTAAAACGCCAAATCAACGACAAACCCCATAAAATAACTGAAAAATTGGGGCTGAAACAACGCAGCGGTCCAGTTATAAATTCACTCAAATACTATTTATAAACCTGTGCGATGGAGTGCTAAGCATTCTTGCAAAAATCAGTATATAAGCCATCTCCCTACACAATTGAGAGTTTTGGCAGCAAAATCTTCCATCTTAAGAAACTCCAGAGCTCGAGCCGTCATTTGACTTATGCCTTTTTACATAACAACCACCTAAAATATTTTAGATTTACATTTTAAACACCTATTCAAATATTTACGATGTAACCACCATAACCATTCACTTTCTTCAAAATCACTGCCCTCCTTTCTCTCTCTCGTAACGTAGTTTGCCTCCATCCCATTTCCCGTGGTGGAACTGCCAAAGCAATAGAGTGAGCAAATTGCAGAAGAGAGCTGATGAACGGCGAAATTGTCAACCTCACCCTCGCCGTTCTCACCAACACAGCCCCGCTGCTCCAAGGACTAAGAAGGAACAGCCTGGCCCGCATCAACCCAGCCAGCTCTGACCTCCCCCGAGGCGGCACCAATGCCAGCGCCTACTGTCGGCACCGGCTATGAAGCCAATTACATCTATATGCCAATCTTCTCAATTATCCTAACAAAATTCCTATCAAGAGAATGATCAAATTAATCATTCACCATCGAATGATCGTCATCCAATGTCAACCAATGTTTGACTCATCTTCCACATCTTCTTACTTATTATGAGAACAATCAAATGGACTGCAAAGCACACCCAACATCTAATGTTTCCCATCGGTTGTAGTCTAACACCGGTCACAAACCAATCTCCAACTTTTACTTGGTCACATCTTCTCCTTTCTATAAAGAGAGTGATCAAACCAACAGGCAACAACCCTCCGTCACCTAATTCTTGTTCCCCATTACAACAACAACAAAGCCTTTTTTTTCTCCATTGCGTCCTGTTTAGTGTCATATTTTCATTTAGTTCTACTAAATTAAGATCATTTTTTTTAAAATAAGTCCAAGCTTTCTTAGATCTACCTCTGTCTTTCTTAACATAAGTCGAATCTAAAACATCTACTCTCCTAATCAGATCATCAGATGGTCAACTTTTAATGTGACCAAACCATCTAAGACGACTCTCTCTAATTTTGCCCCTCACTGGAGCTACACCAACCCTAACACGGATATATTCATTTTGCATGTGTTCCCCATTAAAAAGCGCAAAATGTCTATCAGCGGCCATTAATAGATATTAGACGATCACTGACATCCAATGCTCATCCTCTCCATTAGGGCTTTGAATTTTGCTCAAAGATCGTTAATAACTCGAAAAATGATTTGAATTTCCGCTACCTGATTCATGATGTTCCTCATTAACAGTCGTCCAAGTCTATCAATAAACATTAATAGATATTTCCCAATCACTGGCATCCAATGCTCATCCTCTCCATTAGGGCTTTGAATTTAGCTCAAAGATCGTTAATAACTCGAAAAATGATTCGAATTTCCGCCACCTGATTCATGATGTTCTTCATTAACAATCGTCCAAGTCTATCAATAGCCATTAATAGATATTTCTCAATCACTGACATCCAATGCTCATCCTCTCTATTAGGGCTGTGAATTTAGCTCGAAGATCGTTAATCGCTCGAAAATCGATTCGAATTTCAGTCACTTGAATCATGATGTTCCTCATCAACACTCGTCCAAGGTCTATCAATGGCCATTAATATATATTTGCCAATCACCGACATCCAATGCTCATCCTCTCTGATCTCCATCACTAGCTCTCCCGTCTCCTACCAAGAGAAAAACCAGTAAACCACCCGTAATCCCTCAACCTTTGCAATCCAACATGAACTGTTTTTTGAACCTAGTTGCTTAAAGGAACTTCAGCATCTCAAAAACTCCTAATACCAAAATAGGCATATCTTCCATTGTTCATATATATTCCAATATATTAAAGCCTTCTCTATTTAAAAGGAAAAGTGTTTTTTGTAATCATTAACTCACACAAGTAAAAATATTTCAATTAGGCTAGGCTCCATGATTTTTCCCCTTTTCAAATTTTCACATAAACATTTCGCATCTAGTAAACATTGCTCTCAACTTATATGAATGTGTAGGGGAGTACCTTCATACAATCCTGAAATATTAAATTATCTATGAAGTAACTTGTCTAATCACACTAGCATCAAGCTGGGTCAAACTCCCAATAACTTACAATACAAGAATTTCTAATAAAATTGATTGAGAAGTTCAAATGTTAAATTCAATAATATACAACACAAAAATTTTGATGAGAAAAATAGAAATCTCACCCAGGGCCACCAACTCTTCTGACAAGATAGCTTTGTAGTCCATTGCATTGATCTATTCAATGGAACAAACAGGAAACAGGACAAAATAATTCCAGGTTACAAGTAGGAAATGCCATGAATAAATAATTGAGAACCAATACATAATTCCTTGCAAGGGAAATGTAAAGGACTATACTCTGTTCTTGTATGAAATTTAGTCAATGTCCATCGCCTTTTGTTTTCCATTACTTCTACTGGACCAGATCTTGATGGTGCGGTCATGAGCAACTGTTGCAATGTGCTGTCCATCTACATTGAGAAAATAAAATAAAATCATTTCTTTGTTTGGTTATGAGGAATTAGAAGGAAAGAAAATAATTCAAAAAAAAAAAAAATTTAATTCTATCTAAGATAGTTGGAAATATGAATATTTCACTAAGGCATTATTAAGGAGAGCTTCTTCTTTCAAAAAAAATCCTTTGAAAGCAACTTTTGGAATAAATAGCGATATAAAATGATGGTTGCTAAAGTCAATATTGCCGTTTGAATTTGAAAATTTTTATGCAACACTATTAATCATAACTTTTTTAACATACAAGACTATATTAGCCTAAATAGTTTCAAATTATAATCATCATTTTTCTACTGATAAATTATTTAGCATAATTTTATATAGCACTCATTCTGCAACACGCGTGTTATGTCTTTTTCAAGATGACAATATCAAACTTCTACAAAATCTAACAGGTTAATAAATATCCACGTAAGTTGGGATTAAATAAATTCTATAACAAATAAAAATTTAATGTTTTAAGAACCTAAAATCTACAGCAACCATGAGAAACTCCACATGCAGAACTCTGGTACACATTGCTTTAATTCCAAAACTTCCTTGGCTTCTCTTTTCACAGAGAAGCCACTCTCATAAATGACCTCAAACTTCCTCCTATGGCTAAAGAAAAAAAAAAACCTCCTTCTTCACATCACCGCACATAGGCCACTGACAGGAAGATCTCGCCGACACCAAAAAATTTTTCTAGGTTCTAGCCATTGCCTAGTCTGGGATCCTGAACGCATCCTTCGCATTCGCCGTCGAAGGAGACACGTCTGAGGGTATTTTGGACTTTTTCATTTCCAAAATAGCCAAATTGAGCCTGAAATAGCAGAATGAAGGTTCGACTTTGCGATCTCAAAATAGTAATAAATGAGATTCCGGTAGGCACACTTCTAGAAAAATTAATCGGCCAAATGAACAGCAGCGTTCTCTCGGCAGTCCATACGAAGGAACGGAGGTGAGACATCCTCTCAAAGAAGCCCTAATTCTCTGCTTAAACTCAGTTAAAAAATAAGGTAAAATTAAAGTATAGGCAACAATAATGCTGTCTTCGCTCTTCAATTTGTTGTTTATTCCTTCGAATCAAACAAAAAGAGGAAATAGCCAGTCAATTAAAATTTTTCCCAACCAAACAAAAGGTTTTAAATAACTTATTAATTTCCATTTACTCTGTTTGAATTCCTTCAAGCAAAGAAAATTCTTAACATTCTCACAAATCTCACAATAAAACTAAAAAATAAGTGCAGCTTACCAGCTGTAATATCCAATCCTGTAACCTTTGATTCATGGCCAGATAGAGTCTTAATAGGCTTGAAATCTTGAGCTGACCAAACCTGACACATACGAGCAAGACGGAAAAAAAAGGATGAGAAAATGCAATACATTCAAGAATATCTCTGCAAGAGATAAAATTTAAAAAAAATTTACATACACACCGCATAGTTCTTATGTATTTATATATTTAACACCTATGGATTGTTATCTGCATTTACAACACTTTGGGGCCATAAACCTATGTATCAAAAGGTATATTTCACTTTTAAGAAGTTAGTAAATAGTAATAATTTTGATGTAATATTAAATATTTCAATGTTGTGCAAGTAAATATGAAAGTATAGGTGTTACACATGTAACAAAAGAACAAGGTGGTATATTTGTAAATGCCCCTCAAATTAATTACACAGAAAAAGGAACATACCACTGCCTTTGTATCAAATGAAGAGGTCGCCAGAAAATAACCTTCTTGGGGCTCATACTTCACTTGAGAAATAAGGTTTGAATGCGCTGGAATTGTATATTCACATTTTCTCTTCCTCAGATCCCAAATACGGCAACAATTATCTTCTCCACCACTAGCTAAACGAAATCCATTAGGAGAGAAGCAAATTCCCAAAACCTGCAAATTAAAAGAAAACTCATCAAATTAAACAAATTCAAAACCCAATCCATGTGTTAATAGCAGGCAACCAATGTCCATTAAATTAAAGAAAATTTAAATACTTTGCAAACAATTCATATGTATTTACATATCTCACACCTAAACTTTCATATTTACATACAATAGCACATTAGTGCTTTAAACCTATGCATGAAAATATGTTATTCATTTTTAAAAAGTGATAATATAACTATTTTTTATGTTATATTAAAGATCTGAATGCTATGTGTGTAAATATGAATTGGGTATGAGATATGTAAATATATAAAAATTGTGTCATATGTACCCAAATGGCCCTTAAGTTAAACAGCATTACAGAACAAAAAGGACACAACATAACTGGCTTAACATGGCCTTCCATTGCGAGAATGCTTTTTCCTGTACGAAGGTCCCAAACACGAACAAGTGAATCGAGGCCGCACGATGCGGCCAGAGATCCATCTGGATGGAAGGATACGGCATAGACGCTACGACTATGGCCTTCTTGGAGAAGTAACTCCGTTCCTGTATCGATGTCCCAAAGTCTCCATGTTTTATCGAAACTAGCGGTTCCGAGGTAGTTTCCAGACGGATGAAAGGCAATTCGACCAAGCCGATCGAGATGGCCATCAAAGGATTTCAAGAATGATCCGTCACTTTTCCATAGTTTAGCGGTTCTATCAGCTGATGCAGTTGCTAAAATGTTAGCCACGGGAGAAAATACAACGTCAGTTGCACGCTCTGTGTGACCTTTTAAGGTTGTTTGTTTGGATACTTGAGGCATACTCCATATTTTAGTGATTCCACTCCAAGCACTGAAAATCCAAATATAAACAAAAAAAAGGCAAAGTTAATGTCCCTGCATCTTTGCAAAGAATAGAATTTAGAGGCATTTGCATAAATACCACCCAATTCTTATGCATAGACATATCTAACACCTAAACTTTGATTTCAACATTTAAATCACCCAAATCTTTCATATCATATTAAAAAATATATTATTTTAACTTTTAAAAAGTGAAATACACCTTTTCATGCATATGTAATGGTGGATAGATGCAAAAAATTGAAGTTTAGGTGTTAGATATGTAAATAGATAAGAATTGAGTAGTATGCATGTAAATCTTCTTAAAATTTAAGTTAGAATACTGGAATAATAAATAAAACAGCTGAAATAGCCCTAAGGCCAAATGAACAGGGTATAAAAAGGTATACGGAATAGGTAGAGCAATGAATAAGGAGCAAGGATAACATAACGGAATTAGACTAAAAATGCCTAGCTAGAAGTTTGTGTTCCCTCAGTTTACATGGTTCGGTTGATAGATTGTACAAAAATCAATTGAATCAAAACAACCAAATAATAGGTAGAATCGAACCAAACTGACGCACAATATAATTTAGTCAGTTTTGGGGTTTGTGGATTGTTGTGTGGAGGTTGAAAAAAAATGTTTGTTTTGATAATGCACAGACTTAATTCCAATATTAATAAGGAAATGAGAAACCAAATCAAATTATTATTATTATTATTATTATTATTATTATTATATGAATATATAATATATAAATGCGCCGCTTACTCAGATCAGTTGGTCGGGCATCTGCTTCTCAGCTATAAGTCCTCTCTGGTCTGGAGTTCGATTCCCCATGAGTTTAGGGTGTGGTACTTGAATTCTTAGGCGCATGAGGGATGGTCGGGGCTCGTATAATACCCTCCGGCCATTCCTTTGCTAAATATATATATATATATATAGACACTCATATGACATTGGTTATTTTTGATTATTTGAAATAATATATTTATTAGAGACCTTTGGGCGTTCAATTTAACATTTTATTTTAACTAAACCAAAAAATGCATTTCGTATAACTCTTTATTCAAAACCGAAAAAATGAACCACTCTTTAACAAACCAAACCAAATGAACTACATATTCTTGGCTAGATTTACCAAGTACACATATAAACAAGGTGATGAATAGCTGGTTTCAGTAGACAGTGACAGAACTGTCTTCTTATTATTCCTTCACTCCATATTGTCACTTAGACTATTTCCCCTTTCAAAACCCATTGCTTTCTCTAACTAAATCCAACGATACAAAAAAGAACTAATGAGCCCATAATGCCCCAAATAATTCGTCCATGCAAGTCAGATAGGGCCGATTACTCTTCTATTATGTGAGTTCATCAAAATTAAATTTTGACAGTTCTCTAAAACAACAGACTTTGTGATAAACTTGTAAACATGATTTTTAAAAAAAATGAAAAGGCCATTTAGATACCACCCGATTTCTATGAATTTACATATCTAACACCGAAACTTTACTTTTCATATTTACAACACCCAACCTTTCATAACACATCAAAAATACGATCATTTTAACTTTTAAAGAGTGAAATGCAATTTTCATGTAAAGATAAGGCAAGTAAATCTTCCAAAAAAAAGTTTGGATGTTAGATATGTAAAAACATAGGAATTGAGTGGTAGGCAAGTAAATCTTCCAAAAAAATAATAATAATAATCAATTGCATTTTTATCTAAATCACCTATTTTGAACTTTGTGTTTACTCTGACAAAATTGTTCAGTCAAAATCAACCACAAAATACAAACAAAGATGAGCACAGCCTTTGCGACAATAATTCAAACAGGGAGAGAAATCACTAGACACCACTTACCAGTTTCACTTGAGGTGATTGTCGGAGATAGGACCGTCACCAAAAGCAATGGCTTGGGAGTTGAATGACCTACTATCGTGGTTCTTCTTTCTCTCAAACTCTATATCAAGGAGATAAATCAGCATTTGGGTTGGGTTTGTCTCGTCAAACTTTGACCTAATAATCTGGTAATGAAGCATTCTAAGAGCATTGATATTCACATAAATTTTCCTAAGAAATTCATGCCAAGTAACCGACATTTATGCTCACTAGATGCTACCAAACATGCGAAGTCCTCTTTAAACCACATTATAATTTTGCCAAGATCTAATTATCAATTCTATATGTATGTGAGTAATCAGGAGAGTTACAAAGATCTTCCCAGCCATGGAGAAGATGCTGAGGGTTTGTTCGAGATCAATTTTGTTATCTATTTTTATCTTTTATTTTTATTTTTTTTATTTTATTGTTGCATTTTTTGCATGTTTTTATTTTTTCTTAAATAAATTAACTTGTTTTTAAAAAAACTCAAAACATCTAAAACTAATTTTGAGTGTTCTTAAAAACAACTAAATATGTTATCAAATACCGAACATGTTTTATTTCAAATAAAAACAAATAAATAAGATAAAAAGTGATCCCAAAGGACCCCTAAACATCTCAATAATAGAGAATATAAGAATGTTCCCAGGAGCTTAGACCACCAACAGAAGATTGTTCCAAATAAGTAGGGAAAGAATATTGGAGAGCAAAACGTAGGAGGAAAGGCAAATTGATACCTCTTCAACCAAGCACTGAGAGAACTGTAGCTTCAACTAAGCATTATTTCATTCCAGAAAAGCTTCAATCATTAGATAAAAAAAGCCCTTAATCCATCGGTTGAAATTAAAAGTGAATTGATCAAATAACTAAAATTCAAAGGCAAAACAAAGATGACAAGATGGACAATAGAGAGGTTTGAACCAAACCAACATATAATCATAATCAATGCTCAACCAACAAGCCGGACACCTAAATAGCAAATACAAGTAAAAAATAATTTACAATAATATATATTTCAAGTCAACTGATAAACTATTTTAAACAAGAATGGTTGGGGTCAAAATCAAATTAAAAAAAAATATGACAAACTAATTCATGACCAACAATGAACTAAACCAAAATAAGTGAAACAGCACAAGGAACCAGCTGGACACAAAATACAAAACAATAGAAAATAATATATGTTTTTATAAAATCTAAATTCACTGTTTTAAATGAACTAAAATAGAAATAAAGAAAAATACTAATCAAATAAGTTCAACTAAAATAAAATAAATGCTCAAACTACTTATGCCAGCACTTGTTTTGTATTTTCAAGGAGTATAAATTATCACATTTGCATCACTTTCCTTCATTAGTTTATCTCAAACCCAAAGATTCCTACTCTGCAAAAAAAGTAAAAAAAAGGGTGGTTGAAGAGCGTAAAGGAATGAATAGAGTAGAAAGGGAAAATCTATTATAGGCTCAATGAGCAACAGTACAGTAAATCAGAGACCAAAATAACATAAAAAAGGTGTAACCCTTGACTCTGTTAGAAATCACTTTATTATAGGGAGGAGTCTAGGTATAAGTGCTACGAGAACGGTTACGGAATATGCTATAAATGTAACATGTCTAGAGTACAATTCAAAAAAAGCCTAGAACAAAAATAAATTTGGACTCAAACAAATAGTTGACCATCGGACTTAAAGAAGTCGCAGGCTCCTCTCTAGTGGTTGTCCTCGGGAAGCTCTCCAGGCATGAGTGATTGTCTAAATCAAGTAGGTCTAACAAGTCCATTGATAGCATTTGAAGAGTTCTTCATAAGTTTAGTGGACTTTCGTCATATTTGACCAATGTATTAGCCTTCATTTTAGCGACTGGAGAGTCCTCTTGGGACGTGGCTAGCGAAATTTTCTTAAGCTCAGCTTGACGAGCCCTCATAAACCTTGCTAGTGAATCCATCTTGAGTCGGCTAGCATGTGGGTGTCCTTGCCATTCATTGGAGCAAGTCCAAATTTAGCCAATAAGTGTGTTTTAGAGAGTAGTCTCCATAGCTTATTTACTTAGATCGATATCGCATGGTCTTCAATTCCTAAGTTGGCCAACTATTATCTTTATTAGCCTAAGTTGCAAATATGAAAAGAGTTTTTTAAATGTCAGCCTCGATGTGTGACTTTGACTTGGCCAACTCTTAATTCCAGGTTTAAATTTTTGAGTTATGTCATCATTTTTTTTTTATTGACTCATTATTCTCTTTCAACTGCCACTATGACATGATTACTAGGATTTATTTGATGGGGCAAATTTTGTGAGTTTACTCTTGTAACTCATCTCTAAGAGACGAGTTTTGTTTGTAAGAGCGATTTTCACTTACAAAATAAAAGAAAGTATCATAAATACAGTTAAAAAATAATTTCAAAAATCAAAAGTTTTGAGGTCATTAGTATCAAAATCTTCTGGACTTCTTGATGTGCAAGGAGACGGTTTGCTTTTTGACCACCTTATTCTCTAATGATATACAACTTGTCCCTAGTTGATCTAAGTTTGTCAAGCACAATTTGTACAAGTAGCGACGTTGACTTTCTTTAGAACTGATTTGCATGGATATCTTCTGTCTAGTATTAGAATTCCATCATTCTTTCGATTTCTTCTTATTTCATTGTCGATTGAATTATAAATTCTTTAATAAGTTAAGTACGAAATTTTGGTCTCTCACATTTGATTCTTGCCATTTGTTGGATTCTCCTTCCTCAAAATTTTAAGGAAATGCAAAGTTTTGGCCATGTAATCATGTCTGGGAGTCATATTTTGATTTTGTGTGAAAACATTAAAAGTGTTTGCCCAATCATCAATGCTAGAGTCGTCCTTAGGACCCATTGAATAGAGGACGAGACGTCCTTAGAGCCCATGAATAGAGGGTGGGATGTTCACCCATTCACCTTTGATGCATTTAACTTTCTTTCTTAATAAGCTAAAATTTAACTTATTTGTAGCTTAGTCCTTGAATATTTATCATTGAGAAAGATATTGACGCAAATTCTATGGCATTGAACAAAGTTTTTAACAGTTTTGTTAAAAAATTATAGACCATTATCAGATATGATCAGATGAGATATTCTATATCGAAAAATAATATTAGTCCATATAAATTTGCAAATTATCTCTGCAATTGTCTTGGTGAGTGTCATTGCTTCTATCTATTTAATAAAGTAGTTGATCGTGACAATTATAAATTTTTGTTATCCCTTAGCAGGCGAGAATGGGCCTAGTAAGTGCATGCCCCAGATAGTGGATGACCATCAATTTGAGATCGGCTACAACTTGTGTAAAGGGTGGAGTTGCATCAGATCAAAGATTGGGTATTATAAGCATCTCCTTAAGAAGTTTTTTTGCATCATACAGCTCGCCAAAAGCAGCATTGCTTTAGTATTCGATTAGCCAACACTCAACCTCCATATCACTTTCATGCACACAATTCATACGGTATAGTTGTTGACTTTTTGTGAGTTACCATTGATTAACATATAACATGAGACCTATCTCCTTGGATCTTTCAAATTAGACAAGATGATATCCAACTCTAGATACAAATGAATGGGTTTATCCAAATCAGCTCAACTAGGAAGTCAACTTCCATAACTTCTTGCTAGTCAATTCCAGGTTGAGTAAGCTCTATTGCAGGTCGCCCATCCAGCTTCTCATTGGAAATCATATCGACAAGTTGATTATGCTCTCTAGGAATTTACTCAATTTTTTAAGTATTTGAATTTGATGATTTATGCATTAGTTTGCATATCTTTTGATTTAATATACCATTAATTGAGAGTCTACGTACACTTGTAAATGTTTGGCTTTGACTCAAACAACCAGACTTAGGTTGACTATTCATGGCTAATAAACTTATATGGTTTATGTTTGTTCATAAAACTCTTAGTCGACTTTTCAAGGCCATTTTGATTCTAATTGTCAGGTCAATCGAGATTGTGTCTACATATAATGTCTTCAATAGTTGCCTCGTGAACTACAATTCAAGAATGGCATCTCAAATTGAGGCCAAATTTGGGCATACCATGAGATAAAACTTACAGCTTTTATTTCCCACGTTTATTTGGAATTTATGTGAATTTTAAATTATTTCAAATTCAAAATCATTGACATCCTTTATTTAATGTATTCATTTCCACGAAATCATTTAATATCTTTTGAATTTGATTTCTCTTAATCAAGAAACATCCATGTAATGAGTATTTAGACGATATATGAATACACTCGCAAACAAATCATTGGAAAAGTATAACTAAAGAGCCAAAACTAGAACTAAACGATTAAGAAAAATACCATGTGGCGAGAAGCGTTCCATCATGCGAAAAAGAGCATCCAGTCAGTGGACGATCATCACCGATCTCACTACATTCAAGCGCCAACTCCTTAGCCTGTCCCACAACCTCCATGGCCTCAGCATCTTCATCCTCATCCGGATCATTTCTCCTCCTCCTCGCCCTCTCCAATCTCGCAGCTGCCTTAGCCAATGAATACTTTGCAATCTTCATCCTCGATTCTAAAAGCTCTCGAGTCCCCTCAGTATAAAATGGGTACACCTGCGGCCCTTCATCCTCCGCAGGCACTGCGATCGTCTGCTGCTCCTCTTCATGCGCCTTAAGAAGGCGCTCGAGCTGTCCCTCGTTGTCTAACTTGAGCATAATTTCTCGGAGCCGATCACGGCGCTCCATCTCGCGCTCTCCGAAGAGTGTAACGGGCTCACCAAGCCGGCGAAGGCGGGCGCGAACTGAGACATCGTTGGTAGGGACGGCCATTGCGAAAGCTCGGCGCTTCATGAGTAAATCTTGCACAGCCTTCTCATGGCGCTCCCGGGCGAGGCGACTCTCATCTGAAATTTCATAGTCTTCGGAGCGATGAGGGGGGAGGGAGCCCTCGCGATCGGAATCTGAGGCGGCAGCTGGGGTGGAAGTGGCGATGCGGGGGCGGAGAATGGGTATGGGGGCAATTGGAGGGGGAGTGGGCAGCATGGAGAGTGGAGGAGGTGGAGATGGGTCATTGGAAGGGATTGGGTTTAGGGTTAGGTTTTGGAGCTCTTCCTCGTCCATAGCGGATGGTAAGACTGGGGTGTCGACGATGGCTGAGGGTTAGCTCTTCCTGGTTTTTAGGGTTTTTCTCTACTTGGCGCAAAGATGGAAGTCCCGATTTTAATACTCCTGCATGTCCCTAGTGGTGAAGCTGCCCCGCGACAAACCTTGCTCCTGAATAAGATTGTCATTACATTAGCATGTATGCATTCATCCATATTTACGCGCGTCGCCTCACATTCATGTCCTAATTTTTTTATGTAGGCATGCAGAGTGTCATACAAGATGTAAAATTATAGTTTTTATCTTTCCTTGTGAATAGAAGGGGGAGGAATACAAGGTGGGATATTTTCTCTCGAACTCTTACTAAAAAACCTTTCCTCCAAAAATCATTTCTTCCTCCCTCGGAGATTTAAAAAAGGTATTAAGAACTCGAGCTCTAGCAACATATACATCGACGTCTTCCTCTTAAAACAGGACTTTTTCTATATGTTATAAGCTCACGGACAATATGAGACCCTACATCTAAAAAGAATTAACAGTCATGTTTACTGACAAAACTCTTCCTTTATTGAGAATTATTTTTTAACATTCTCAGTTGATCATTTTCTCATGTATGTGAGTAATAGATATTTAAAACTAGTCTTATATTTCATATAATCTCTCACTTAATCAGATAAGTAGTCATGCTAAACATCAAACATCAACCACTGCTTATCAATAAAATGGCATATGATGCACATCTTCCCATCACTCATTCTCTCATACTATGATAATAACCAACAATGGCATGTGATATCTATCACTTTCAACCAATAGCTATCTCATTTTTGCAAATCAAAATAATCTTCAATGGCATTCTATTGATTGATCCAAAGTTAGTCATAACTTGACACAATCAAAACTTAATTAATAACTTTAATTATAATCAGAACAAAAAAATACTATATTTCTTCTTTTAAGATTATACATATAATATTATAACACCTACTCTTTCATATTTATCAGCATAACACTCAAATATTTAACGTTGCTTCAAAAACATCATAATTATTATTTTTGAGAAGTCAAATATATCATTTTATGCATAAGATCATGACACTATGATATAGTGATGAATATCATTCATACATTAGGTTCAAAGGTATTAAGACGCAAAACTATCATTATTTTTTAGCACAGAAAAAATCACTTAATGTCTATTTTTATTAAGTATTGGGGAAAAATAAATATGCAAGTGGAGCAAAATTGCTAAATTATATGCAATAAAATATTAACTTTTGTTATATATTTCGAGAAATCACAAATTTTATGCAGCAAGTATAACATTTTCCGGCTCCTAAATATGTAAATACATTAATTTACTGGTTTTTTTAATTCAAAATTTTTCCCTTTTTTTTTTAATTTCTTTATGTTGAGGCAAAAAGAGTGTTAAAGAAGAAGCTAAAAAGAGGATCGCTAAATACATCCCAACAAAAACTACAACAGTTGAAAGAGCAAAACAACAAATAGAAGGCCAAAAAGCACTGTCGGTGAATAAGGGAAAGGAGAAAATAAATTAAAAATAATAATAATATTCGAATTGAAAATAAATAAAAAGTGTGGGGCCAAAAAAAAAATCTTTATTTATTATTTTTTATTTTTTTTTTCTTTTTCTCAAAAATGTTTGTTGCTTTAATGATGAAAAGTTATGTTGCTTTCATTTCAGATTTATTTGTGTCTTTATCATTTCATTTTTCTCCTTGTTTTTTTTCACCTTCTTTTATTCCAATGTGTTGTCCAGCTTTGGGAAAAAATTTGCGTACGTCAAGGGGTACGCATCTCTGCGTACATAATAGTGTGCATGGGAGTTACATGAGAGTTACAAGGGGGTTATAACCTGTTGTACCTCTCGTGTAACTCCCGTGTAACCTCATGTGTAAATCCCGTGTAACCCCGCTGTAACAATTATACATGCTTGTAACTCCTATGTAACTCTCGTGTACACGCTTGTAACTCTCATGTTGTAACTCCACGCTTGTAACTCTCATGTAACTCTCATGTAACTCCCGTGTACACTATTATATACGCAGAGATGCGTACCCCTTAACGCACGCAAATTTTTTGCCCAGCTTTGGCATAACACATCAAAACGATCTAAACCTGACTCAAAAATTTGGGTTCGGGCTAAAATTTTTGAACCTGTCTAATTTTTCAAACTGCGTTTGGGTTGATACGCCGATACTAAATTGTTTCAAAATCAACATATCAACCCAAAATTGACCCAGGATGGACTCAAAATTGACTTGATTTTGACCCAATAGCTACCATTCCTTATGTTAAATGGGTAAAATAGGTCGTATTTGGGTTGACAAGTTGAGGATCGGTTATGTTCGGGTAGGACTTTCTAACACGATTAATATTTGTGTTGGGTTCTGATTAAATTATTTCGGGACAAGTCATACCCAAACCCAACCCACGAACCTTATTTAACACTGCAAGTGGTATAGAAGTGTTATATGCCACTTTGATATCAAAAATAATTTCTAAGATCAAATTAATTGATAAAATAAGGCAAGGTTGAACATATAGCAAGCACGATGGATGGGTGTCAATCATTTTTATTATGTTAGACACCTAAATACATGTTTTATATGTGTATTCTGACAACAAAAACTAACATATTGGATCAAGCTCACCTCCAAAAGTGTCTAAATCGAGCATTTATGCCAAGTGGTTGGATTTCATCTCTTCCATTGAGGTAACCTAGCTCACCTAGGGAGGGACAAGTATTATAGATGGACAACATTACTAGCTAGCATGCAAGTCTATCAATATTTAAAAGTGTGGCTAGACATCCTTGTCATTATCTTTTCATTAAGATATCATGAATAGACATCGTACTAAATATATTTTCTATTAATCTACTTTTTTTTTTTATAAAAGAAAAGTCAAGATGTCATCTTTTCCCCGAATCTTTTTTTTTTTCTCACATATACTGAAATCTTAAAAACCTCTCCTGAGCTATTTTTTCGTCTTATCGGAGTCGTTCAAGTTTAACGTACAAACCCTCAGACAAAATATGATTAAGAAGATAAACCAATAATAAGAATAATCAATTAATTTTCTCATTTCTCATATGATGAATTTTAGAATGGAAGCACCAAAGAAAATTAAAAAAAAAAATGTAGGCTCCACTTATCTCAAATTATTAAATGTCATGAGAGCGAAGGCACGATCTTTAAAGCATTAAAATCCAAAAAATTATGCATGCCCCCACCGGCTTAAATAATTCAATATCGTACTCTTTCTTCGCATGCAAAACTCTTTCCAAGCTTCCGCGCAGCTCAGCATGTGCACATGCACTCAACCAATCCAAATTTCACACGTGGCAGATGTGATTTCTCCAATTGTCCCATTACTTGATTCCATGCAGGATCATTCACAAAAATACAAATCAGCTCCCCATTTTTGTTAAATGATTTAGTTCTCTGCAGAAAAAAAAAAAAATTTATTTTTTATTTGAATTAAAATTGTTATTGTTAGAAATTGCCTGAATTTACGGTTAGGGCACTCAAGGGATTCAGACTTCATCAATCAAGACAATTTAACATAAGTATTGTTTTCTGACAAAGAAGTCCTTTCTCTCTCTCATGCAATTCAATCGTGGGGGCATTCCCAAACATATGATGACATGGTATATATGAATACGGCCATACATGCTAATAATGCTCTTTCAAGGGCCTGCATCATAGAGATTAAACAATCTTATGCCCTTCGGAACCCTACATCATAAGATGAGTCATTTTTTAGCGAAGCCCACATGTAAAGTGGTGGATCTAAGCCTACTTGTCGAAGTGGTCAATTTAAATGCACCTGTCGAAGTGTTCGAATTAAAGCATTTGTCGAAGTGCTCGATCTAAGCCCACCGGTTGAAGTGACAAAACTAAATCCATTTGTCGAAGTGCTCGATTTAAACTCACTTGTTGAAGTGGTTTATCTAGACTCACATGCCAAACTTGTCAAGCTAAACCCGCATGCCGAAGTGATTGGTCTAACTGATGACAAACCATCGGAGAAGATCATCATTACATATAATAACATGTGTAAATCTTTATTAATGGCGTCACCTGACACACATATCACAAATTTTTCGCCAAAACACTGCTCAAGGAGTAAAGTACAAGATATAATTTTATATTTTTTTTCTCATTTATTGAAGGGATGTAAGAGATTATGAAGGTATACGTTTTTGGGCCTTCGAAAATGAACTCTCTCTCTCTCTCTCTCAATGGATACCTCAATACAGGCAATGACAAGTTTCACTTAAGACCTTGCTAATAGGGGTATTCGACTGAGACGACAAACGGACCAGGTAAACGAGAAGTGGGCTCCGTAAAACTTGAGTCAAAGCGACAATTGAGCTACGATTCACTCAACAAAACAAATTGGTTTATCTGTTGACCGCTTGACCTGCTTCCCATGATTGTGATTAAACGGCTGAGCCGCTTTTATCGCGGCTGAAAATATCGATATTCAACCGAACGTCTCGGTTGACCACACACTAGGCACGTTTGCCACCCAATAGATCAGCTCATAATGGTACATTCTAGCGAATCGACAAATCAATTACCGTCGTAACAAAATTCAAATTCGAATACAAAAATGGAATGAAATCCATATAATTTATTAGAACATTAATATGTTAAAAACGGTTTTTTAAAATGTTTTCTCCTTTCTAAAATTATACAAAATATGTTCATATAAATAAAAGACAAAAAAAAACGATCAAGAAGAGGCAGGTCATTTGGACTCCACCGGTTCTCTCTGCACTAACTCTTGGTTAAATTTATTTTGATTTCACTAAACTCTCAAGATGAATTCACGAAAGACAATCCCGGATCTAACACTAATCAACATATTATGCTCGGAGGCAATAAAGAAAAAAAAAATGCTGAAATCTAAAAATAATTTGACACTATAGTTTATAAACATTATTAAATTATGATAATTATTTAGTTAATTGTTTCCATATTTATAATTTCATGAATAATGATAGGAATAAAATTTCAATTTTGTTAAACCCTATGAATGATAAATTGAATTATTTTTTTAAAATTTTACTAAACCACCCCCATCTAAATAGTAAGAGTACTATTTTGCATAAATAATAGAGAAAATTAATTATTTAACTGGATACGAACCTAATATAAATTTTATAATACATTAATCTCAAAATAAATAAATAAATAAATAAATAAACTTAAAATTTTATTCCAATTAAATTTGAGCAAATATTCTTACCTTTATTTTTTCCAATAATAACAACTAAAAACCTTTTAAAATGCCTCTCAATTATGCAAATTGATCCGGAAAATTCATTACTAAAGAATTCAACATCCGGCTAATAAGAACTGAAAAAAAAAACCAATAATAATAATAATAATAATAATAATAATAATAATACAATAAAGAAAAATTGAAACCATTTTTATTTTATTTTTTAAATTTTCAAAAAGAGATCCCTTCACTCCTGTCCCATTCCTCCTCCCCTCCATCTTCTTCTTTTCCGGCAATGTTCGCCGGCCGCCACGCCGAAGCGGTAAGAAGCGATAAATCCTTCCATCCCAATTTCAATCTCCCTCCTTCCTCCGCCAACGTGTACCCCTTCCACGGCACCATTCCCAAAAGCAAGCTCGCCTGAGCAGCCGGACTTCCGGCGAGAGAAACTGGACGGAAGCCTACTCGCCGGAGCTCATCCCCCCACCTTTCTACCTTCACCTCCCCAGTCCTCTTCGGCCCTCCAACCGCCACAATATTTTTTATCTCCCCACCCAAAACCCCTCTCTCCACTTCCCATCTCTCTTCCCCACCACCCCCTCCATCCCCAATCGCATCAAACAGAGCAGAATAGTAATGCAGGGCTTCGACAAACCTGCCGAGGAATCCTCCGCCGCTGCCATGGCCGAGATCCTGTTCGACGACGGTGAGGAGACGGGGGCGGAGGGAGGATAAGAATTGTGCGGCGGCGATATCTGATCCAGTGACATCGTAGAGGCAATGTTGGGTCCAGTGAACGACAGTAGCTTCTGCGGGGTTACGGTGGCAGAAAGGAGTAAAATCGGTTGCGAGGTCGGCTATCTTGCCTTCGAGCGGGGTGAATTGAAAGGGGAGGTTGAGGGAAGCGGCGAAATCGGCTAATCGCCGGCCGGTGGCTTCGAGGAGATCGGAATCAGGGCCAATTCCGGTGATTCGAATTGATTCAATGGGGCGGGGACGAGATGCGAGGATGTGGAAGAGACCCGGCCACTGAAGGCCCTGCATGATGTCGAAATCGACGATGTGGAGACGGGAGAAGAAGTGGATGGATTGGAAGATGGCCTGGTTGGAGGTGAAGTGTGAGAATTTGATGAGAGGGGTGAGGGAGTTGAGGAGGTGGAAGGAACGGGGGATGCGGTGAGTTAGGGTTAGGGTTTTGAGAGGGAGAGGGGAGTATGAGGAGAGGTATGAGGAGAGGATGCGGGCCCGGAGGGCATCGGAGAAGTAAGCGGCGACGCGTTCGGGGGAGGAGCCGAAGGGAGACGATAGAGAAGTGATTTCGGGAAGGAAGGTGAGGGCGCCGGAGAGATTGTCGACGGCGACTGATTCGGCGCATTGGAGGAGGAGGCTGAGGAGACGGAGGCCGCGGGATTCGATCTCCGGAGAGTCGGCGGCGGGCGGGTCGGTGGAGATGTCGAGGTTGGGGTGTTTGAGGGGGCGGGGGTCGGAGGAGGAGGATGGGGAGGAGGAGCGCTTGGAAGTCGCCGGAGCGGCTTCGGAGGAGGAGGTGGTCGTGGTGGGATTGATGGGGGATGGAGGGAGGAGGCTTTGGAGCATGATGGCAGGAATTCGGGGTTCCAGCCTTCCAGAGAGATGAGGAAGAGACAGAGCTGTGTAAGTGATTCGGATTTTGTGAGGAGGAGGGAAAAATAGTTATAATAATAATTATTATTATTATCATAAATATATATATATATATATTTTTTTCATTATGGCCGTAGTTATAATTGATTTTGGACTGAATTTTTAGTTTTTTATATGAACGTAATAGTAGATGAACAAGAAAATATTTAAGCTGAGGGGGACCAGTGGTGTAGGCATTGAAATCAAATTAAGCTATTGTTGGTTTAGGGTCTTTCAATCTAGGCATAATAAGAACTTGTCAAAACCATTATTAGATATGTGGGTCAAGTAAAACCATACAAAGATAATGAGTTATGTGGGGATTTTTAGATTGAACTTTAGGTAATTTAAATAAAAATATTATGTTGTTTTTAGATTTAGGAGATTAAATGTTTTAATTAGTCAACATATTTAGAAGAATGTGCCACGTGACAAGTGGATCCACACTTCTTAAGAACCTAACTAACCAACCAGTGTATTGCAGTAGATACCACTTGCCACGTGTTAAGTGCTCATTGGACTCCGAACACAAATTTGTGTCAAGTGTTCTGATGCAATATTCACTCATTAGAGTGAAAATGAGCAAAGACAACTTATGAGTTTGGCTGAAATTCAAGTCTAGAAATGGCATGCGGGTTAAACTTGATAAACTAGTTTTAAATAGACTCGTTCGTTTAAGAAAACATTAAATGTATAATGCACTTAATATATATTAAAATATAAGATTTTGATTATAAATTATTTAATTGGTTAAAAAAATATTTATTTTCTTTTCTCAACTATTATTTTTTAAATAACATTTCTTCTATATGTTCTTATAACAATTGTTTGAAACAAAATTATTTTTTTTTTTTGTGATTCATAGTGAATCAACTAGCTTTTAAGTCAACTAAAACACATAAAATTAACCTCGTTTAGGCTCTTGCATTGTTGGTCTGAGTGGCGAAAGAATATTGCATCTAGAGATTGATGCAATTTTGTGTGTATTAGCAGCCTTACTCATGTATTAAATTAAATTTTTATCACTAAAACGAGTCTTTTTGCACATATAGTAGGTCCTAATTGAAGTCTAAACTGCATCAAAATTTCTGAGCGGAGAGGAGAAGAACCGGTTGCGGGGAAGAAAGCAGCGCTGGCAAGGGAACTATTAACACAAATTTTATTTTCGTAATATTAATTTCTGGGACGTGAAATATGTGAATAATAATGTGTAATAGAAAATTCAGCTTGCCGTGGCATACACGACGTCAACAGCTTGCTCTGGTTATTCCTGTCTTTTTATTATTATTATTATTATTATTATTATATTAAATTCAAGAGGCAATTTTCCATAAGATTATAATATTTTTATTATTATTTTTTTTTATAAGAAATGTTATGATATCCAGATGCAGTCAAAGGCCTCCCTAGGTGATTAATTATCTGCCTTTTTATAAAATTAATAAGTATGAAGACTCTTATATTTATAAATACAACCTCTAACTTTTCAAATTTATGAAGAGGCCCCTAAACTCAACTTACGGCCGTGCACATTGGAGAGAAAAAAATATATATATATTTAGAAATGAAACCCAGAAAAACTTTGCAATACTTATAACAAATTATGATGAAATGTAGTAATCTTGTGACAAGCTAATTTAAAATATATTAAAAATCAAGTAGATTATTGATGTAGTTAACGTCAATTAGAAGCACATTTGAATATTTATATTTTTGTCCCAATCCTCCATTGTTTTTCAATTTAATTAACTCAGTTTAAATATTCAGATAATTTGTAATTAGAAAAGACTCCAAAATAAGAGTAATCAAAAAACTATTTTTATTACAAGGAGGTCGACATATAGAATCTTTAATTAGGAAAGGCAACCAAAATTGTCTCTAGTTCTTAGGATGGTGACTTGAGCGATAGAGGATGATATATATCTTATCAATATTATATTTTATATTCAAATTTAAATTTTCCAACCCTTCATAATTTTATAATTCTGATCCTTTAATTTTTACATATAAGCCCACTTAGCCATGCATGAAAAAAGTGTGTTTCCTTTTTTTAAAAGTTAAAGTAGTAATATTCTTATGTGATGAAAGATCTGGATGGTATAAATGTAAAAATTGAATTTCATATGTTGAATGTGAAAATACATAAAATTTAGGCGGTATTAATTTAAAAACCCTTTTCGTCCATGAACTATTCGGTACCATGTACAGCGGCTAGCCATTTGGCAGCTAAAATATGGAGTAATTGAACAGTTATTAGATATTACAGTTGGCTCCAACATTAGATTAGATGTTTTTGTGATAGTTTTTTCTCTGCTGCGGTGCGTTTTCAAAACGATTATTGTGTTTGTTTGAAAAGCACTGTGCGGCGGCTTTTATTAATAAAACACTATGTAATCTTGATAATCTAGGAGGCCCTCGCGTTCGGCGATTTATTCGGTTCGCGGTTACTTGGCTGCCTTCTCTTCTACCCCCTTCAAGCGACGAGACTTTGCTTAGTGTTATTTTTCTTCCCTTGCTCTTCTCCATTCTCCGAGGGATTGCCAACATTTACTTCCTCAGCTCTGCTTCTTCCTTTGGTACCTTCCACCCTTTACCTTCAAAGTTTATTTTGGGTAGCATTTTTGTTGTGGTTTGTGGTATGTGGTCCTCTTGCTCTTTGCGATTTGTTGTTTGCGGCTTTTAGTCTCTTCGCTCTTTGTGTTATGTAATTGGAAGAAAGTGATTTAGAATATTCATGTTTTGTTTTTTCTATAAATTTTTAGATAACTCAATTGTAGTCGCTTCGTTCTTTGTGATTTGTGGTTTAAATAATGGGATTTGGAAGATCCACGTTTCCTTTTTTCTATGAACTTTAGGATAAATTGGTTTGTTCTCTGGTTGTTGTATGCAATTTGTGGTTGGAAGAAAAGGATTTCGAAGATCCGTATTCGATTATACTGCGAAATTTATATCAGAGAACTGTGACTTTATTAGGTGGTCAGATCAAATTTTGATGATTCCACCTTTGAAAGTAATTACACGTGAAGGGTTTCGTTGCAGCTAATATTATCTCGTTAAATAAATCGTGCATTTTAAATTCAACGTTATAATAATATTAGTTATTATTTAATAATTTTATTTTGTTAGTTTGATTGTTGTGTTGCTCGTTGTTTAGTGGGGTGTAAGTTTTTATCATATAATATTCAAATTGAATATCTATTTTCATGTATGCAATGTGCCAAAAAGACTAATTCTATTATGAACAACACAATAGTACAAGTGCAGAAAAAAATTTTTATCATAAAGAGTTGTAACATAGTTGCTATACAACTACACAAAATAGACACATACAGCTATCCCGTAGTAGTTTCTGGCACAATTGTTGCACAATCATTTTTTAATAAGATGCAACTGCCACAAATAGACTCTAAAAAAATATGTTCAACTTTATATATGTATTTTTAGAGTGAAATGCTTTTCTTTATGGCGTGTTTGTTGCAGAGATGTGGTGCTCTACACTTTGTGACATTTTAACAAAAAAAAGTTGTTGTTAGTTGTTAGGTATGGCTCATATACGAGATAAGGAACAGATGCTGGAGGGGAACGAAGCAAGCCTGTGGAGCGGAGCTCGCGAGCGGAAGCTTCTGTCCAATCGGGGGAGTTACAATATATGGGTTGGGGGTGCCGGGACAACGCCCCGGCGGTACGGTACTGGGGTAATTTTGTAATTACATATTGTACTCCAGGGCTATATATATGTGTATTATAACCCTAAGGGGTATCATGTACTCTTTTCAGAAATTGAAAGAAAGTCATTGCTCTGCTCTCAATGACGTAGGCATCTTTGCCAAACCTCGTTAAATATCTGTTTTTTCTTCTGAATTTGTGTCGATTCTTGTTTTTCTTCACCCTAAAATTCCCATCATTAGCTTTTTAAAAAATCGTGGTGGAAAGCTATGTTTTGAAACTTGACATAGCCGTGCAGTGGCTGCTAGAAAGTTTTGTTTTTTTTTTTTCAAAATGTAATAGCTACTGCAACTTTTGGACAACAGGTTCTTTTGCATTACTTTTACAATTATTTTTTCAAACAGTTGTTATTTTCTCGAACATAGCCTTAATCAATAAAAAAACTAGTGAACATAATAAAATATATTTGCGTCCATAAAAAATATGCCTGCTTTAATCTTGAAGGGATCCAACAATCCATAAGGGAGGAGTGCGGCGAAGGCTAGCCCATGGCCAAGAGGTCGTGAGGCCCATTTGATCGACTGAGCGAAGTCATATGAATTATGCCTACAAGACAAAAAATCGACCAAATCGTGAAACAAACAAAAGATAACCGAAGGATACAAGGACATGTTGTCCGACTAGAAACGAGTCAAAAGGGAATTTGAGCCAACCATTACAACCACTCCGATGTGAGAGCCTACCCTCCGGTAGAGTTAATCCAAGGGAATGTCCATCTTTATTGTATCTCCAACTATCACAGGGACGCTCAGAAGCTCATTGTTAGTCATCATTAATCAACAAATATTAATGGAGTTAACTTAGTCGATCTTGCCATAAAACAGCCAAATGATAAGCTTATAGATGTAAAATAACATAAATACTTTAGTAATAACCTCTTAAAAAGGTAGAGGTAAAAATGTAATACACCATTGTATGTTTTGTACCATCTCCTTGATAAATAAAAGAATTATTTTAAAAATAAGACACACATAATGCAGTTGATTACTATTCTCTCTCTTTGTCCATTCTTATCTCTCCTTACCTATACTATATTTTTTTTAGTGTGATTCAAAAACAAATTAACCTTCAATATTTGTATTTTAATATTTAATCCTCATCTTCCATTTCCATTCCATTTTCTAATGACTTATTTCTTATGAAATTAGATTACATACTTGCTTGCATGCTACTTTCCTTCTTTTCATATATGTTGCTTGTGATTTTAATTTTTCATTCTATATTTATTTATTTATTTTTACATAATTTTTTATAATTTTTTTCTTAATTTTTTTATGCTTCATTGATTT